GAGGCCTGGATGGTAACTACACAAACCACAGAGCACTGAGGCGCATTATTGATATTATTTCGTGTGCTTTTGTAGGAATTTGAAGCTAGTTTTGAACTGCATTGGATGGTAGATGGGGCCATTGTGACATGTGCAAAATTACTTATAAATTACCTACAGGCTAATAAATGTATAAGGAATATATGAAAAATCAGTGAATGTCTTGTTTAGACATGGGTCCCATTACCAAGAGATCTCAAGTGTGTGTGTGTACACACAAATACAGCTATTTTCAAATCCAAAATAATCCAAAACACTTCTGGTCTCAGGTATTTTGGATAAGAGATACTAATTTTGTTATTTGCTAAAATACAAACTAATTTAGGGACCAGATGAATTAATTAGACTAGCCTCCCTGTTTCAAAATGTGCCATGTTTAATTGCCCCCACTGCTCAGTTCTGTTCTATTCAGTTGGAATATTGAATATCCTATTCCTTACTCTGAAACCATGAGGAGTTCTGAATAGAGATGATCTCTTTCTTCACTATACCAGACTGAAAAATCCAAAAGAAAAAGATGTGCCAAGTAATCAGCTTGAAGCTCAAGGCATGTCTTTCTGATTGACCCCCCCCCCCTTTTAAGCAAAGGCAACTCTTGAGAAGAATAGCTTGATTCCACATTTGTCTTAACTATGGTATTATGGATTCCTCCGAAAGCTGTCTACAATTTTTCAAGGGGAGCTTAGAGTGATATGCTAGGTATGATTAACAGGCAGGGCTTGCAATTGTAGGAACTTATTTCTAGAAATGTTTACTTGAAGTCTTTTTATCACACTGAGTATTTTCCAGGCTACAAACATCTTTTCATTTGAATGTGGATCTGTCTGGGCAAACTTACAACATTTGTTATTTTTCAATATTAGAAACTGTTCTTGGAATTCTGTACTTATGAGAAGGACACAAAGTGCTTAAGTAACCCTTGAGGGCAGAGATGAGGGGAATGAAATCTGAATCCTACCATTTGACCTATTCAAACCATTTTTTAAAAAAGCGAATAAACCTATTAGTACACTGATAATTAAGAAATGTGTTTAATAATGTTGATTTATATTATGAACATTGCTCACATTCATAGATATGAAAAAAAATCAAACTAAATAAAAGGAATGTTTCAGTCATAGAAGCCACCAGTTTCTGTCATTCAATTGCCACTAATAAATTCTAGGGCATGTAAAAAAAGATAAATTTAAATTTAGTTTAATTCCAGCTAGAGAGACTTACTGAATCAATAGAATTACGTAAGCATTGATTTACTTAATTCCTATTCCATTTGGTCTCCACTAGTTTAACTAGTAGTTGTTTTGGACCAGAAGTTGATGTTTATGCTGAACTAAAAGACTTAGGTGTCTGATTTCAAATGCAGTCACATGTTGTTTGCTGTATATATTTTATGACAACAGAAAGGATGCACATAAGGGTGTATGAATGCTCAAAAATTTCAAAATGGTAGGTAATTTCAGGAAGAGCTTGCTGTTAACATGTGCAGTCAGTTTGCAGGACACCAAGAAAACTAATTGGATGTGCTTTAAGAGTGTTAGGGTGGACACTAATATTCTCAGTGTTGCCTGGAGAAAGGTAAGGATAACATTACCTGCTTCTGTAGCATTTACCACTTTCATCTGTAGCATCCCTAAAAGGAAACTTCATAGATTCTGTTGAAGACATTGCAAGAATTCGGGATATTACTTACAACCTTGTCTATACATCCTCGGTATTTCAACTGTCTGATCACTACACATGTAGGTGAATCCAGCCTGGATCTAGTTGCAGGTTTAGTCCTTGGTTGAAGACTCACAAATATAGGAAGGCTTCATAACACCTTTGACTGCCAGCATCACCTGATGAAAGCCTCAAGTTCCTTGTGATCATTTGGGAACCACTATTCTCTGTGCCAATTTAGTACAGCATGCTTGCTCTCAGATATGTTGTTGAAATGGCACAGAAAAACCACAAGGTCTGGAAAAGCAGCATGAGTGCTGTCAGCACTACAAGAATTCAGTCACTTTGTTCTTAAACAGTGTATAAAGAGATCAATGGGGGCCTGCATTGACCTTTTGATAAGCATGCCCAAACTGGTTCAAAAGATAAACATTTCTGAATGTAGCTTGAAATTCTATGGCAACTAATAATAATAATAAATGGCCCAGAAAACAAAGGCTATAAAGACTCAAACTATCAAGTTGTTCCAGTTGTACCCTCCTTACCGCAAGCACTGTGAGTCCCGTTTCTTATGAAGAGATCATGGTACTTAAGTGTATGCAAGGTCGTGTGTGTGTGTAGAAAAGGGCAAATGCAGTGAGCTGTGTAAAAATGCTGGTCAATAAGCATCTGGTGTAGACACATTTAGTCAACAGGAAGGAAGGCTTGGAAAAACCATATAACAATTACTACCATAGGTACCTTTGAAGTATCTGGAACTTCTGAGTAGAGGAACAGAATGATATTCCCATTTTGAAGAACTTTCCCCTCCCAGCAGACATGGAATCTATGACCTAAGAAGAGCCATGGTGTCTTCTCTCCCCAGGTCTCCAGCCAAGTGTGTGTGTGTATTAGCCACTTTTCTTGTGAGATTTCTTGTCCACACTAGGATAACTGTAAAAACATTTGAAGGTCAGTAATGTGAATGAAAGGCTGAAAAAGAATTTACTATGCTTCTGTCTTGAATCTACCCCAGGGAAGAACACATCTCACCTTGTCCCTTTCCCTGAGTATCTTACACGGATATTTTCCTTTTCTGTGGATTTAAGTAAATTTCTGGGCCTGCTAACTAGCATCAGGATGTACCTGTCAGAAAAGTCGAGGGTGAAACACTTGAATGAATTGCTCCCTTTCCTATCTCAGAAATATTTATTCCCTGAATGACAAATCTCCTGAGTATGTGGCAATATAAAGGCCATACATTTTGACATGTCATGTCAGCCATTTAGGATTTCATCTTTATGAGAACCCTCCACTTGATTTGAAGATAGTTGATATAACACTATACTTAGTTTTAACTGTATTTCAACATTGCAAAACCAGAAGGGCAGTAACACTCTCTCAACCTCCAGTTTCAAGGAGTTGGGTATGTGGAGTACAGACAACAGTTGCTTATTAAGGCAAAAACATTCACTTCTGCCTTTTCTAGATTTTCTTCATGTGTTGTTGTTGTTAATGAATTGTGTGAAACTGAAAGACTGGAGGAGATTGATTTTTGGCTAGCAATGAGTACATGGAAATTTCAAGTGAAAACTATGTGGGTCATCCAAATCATGTTGGAGAGCAACATCCAGTATTCCTTCACCAATGGCTACACTGGATAAGGCTGCCATCAGTTCACACCAATATAATCAGGAAGGCCACATAATTCCCATCCTGAGCTAGAATCTTAACTAGATTGCCTCTGCATACTTGAGGAACATAGAATCATAGAGTTGGAAGAGACCTCGTGGGCCATCCAGTCCAACCCCCTGCCAAGAAGCAGGAATATTGTATTCAACGCACCCCTGACAGATGGTCATCCAGCCTCTGTTTAAAAGCTTCCAAAGAAGGAGCCTCCACCACACTCCAGGGCAGAGAGTTCCACTGCTGAACAGCTCTCAAAGTCAGGAAGTTCTTCCTAATATTCAGATGGAATCTCCTTTCTTGTAATTTGAAGCCATTGTTCCATGTCCTAGTCTCCAGGGAAGCAGAAAACAAGCTTGCTCCCTCCTCCCTATGACTTTCTCTCACATATTTATACTCTATGAGTGATACGATTGTCCTGAATCAATCTGTCAACCTTTTGCTTGTAAAACTTGGTGGTTGCTGTCAAAAGACATCCAACTCTTTGTCACCTCAACATCTTTAAACTTACTCGCCTTATGACGCACAGTACTCACATCAACACAATCACCATAAACAACTTGCATTCTCTGATTAATCTCCTTTGGAGTGACACCTTCTGATGTCAAGAATTCAATGACTGCATGTTGCTTAAGTTGCATTGACCGAACGTCTATGCAGGGTTCCATACTTCGCACTTTAACAACACAATCGCTCAATGCTAAGGCTTCCTGCCAAAAATGGAACTGTAGAGTCTACTGAACAAGCCAGTACCTGCCGCATACCAGTACTGGAATCTGTTGAGTTACGAAGGTGGAGGCATTACTTTTCATTCAATCCTCGTCCTTGGCAAATCAGTTATGCTACAATCAGTTGAAAGTTTGGCATTTCAAAGGTAGTTTGTCCATGATTGTAAAGTGACAATGCTATGGGCAACTTGCTTTTGAATTCCAAACTTTCAACCAAGTATGGCACACTATCTCAAGATCAGATAGAACAAGTGAATACTACTTTTGATTCTCAAAGTTCTCAAGGTATTTAGTGCCTTTGTAAAGGAAAGAGATGGAAGCTGTTCCATAATACATTGTTATAACTGGACAAGATTCTTAACTACATCTTAACTACAGCTAACTTTGACTGCTACACATGACACACCATTAAGGGAAGAGTTCTCTTTAATTTAAAGATTCTGTTACAGAAACAAAAGTATATTTGTAGTGAATCCTATGCGAATTAACCCTGATACTACATATTGTGAAGAAACAGTGTTGCTATAAGGGCTTTCTGAACCTCCAGAATTGTACAGAAACAACTGCTGAAGGGGGGAACTGCTTTTCACTAGCACAATAAAAACTATCTCAATAGTCTCTTTACAAGAGGAACCCTGAAGGCCTTACACAAATAAACACATTAGTCTATTCTAACATTAAACCTGATGCAATTTAGTAAATACTTTCCTTTAGAAAATTCTACTGATTAATTGAAATATTTTTACAAGGATAACTAAAGTGTGAGTTAAGTGTTCTTTTTTACTGGCAGTTCAAATACGCTGGCACGCTAATCTCAATCAGCAAATATGTTCATGCTAAGAATTCTGATATTTCAAAGGCACTTATGGACTCTCCGAGACTAGATGAAAACCAAGACAAAATAGAACCAACAGTTAAAACAGTATATAATATAAAAATAACTTTTTGTTTACAATTTACAAAATGTATTACAATCTTCATCTCTGCTATCCTGGTATTCTGTTTGTGTGCCCAACACATTTTTAAAAAGCAAAAGAAAAACAAAACCATTTACTAAAACAGTAGGGCAAATAATTTACAAGATACATGAAAATTTAGGTCATGCAGAGATTTCTTACATCTTCTGTTAATACTTTATGATTGCAGCTTTATCAAATCATATACCTGCTTGCCCTGTACATATACAAAATAAAGGATACGGGATAATCAAAACTTTAGCAAAAAGTAGTCCATAAACTCAATTTGTCAAAAGTTTCACCATAGCAACATGTCTAGAAACAGTGTGTAACAAGTTTAAAAGACATTAAGGCAATAATACTTGAAGTAATAAAATAAACCATATGTAATACTTTCTCCTAAATGTAATAAGGCAGATTGATGGCCCCAGTAAAAAGTTAGATTGCAATACTAGAATCCACTGCTGTGAATGTTACTGTTTGTGTTCATGTATACAAGAGTGTACCATTGTGTGTGTATGTACACTGTGTTAGTTTCTACCCCCTCCCCCCCAAAAAAGCGTGGAATACTATTGATCTACTTCAGTGGCACTTGAATATTCCAGTATAATTTAATATATGTCCATTTGTTCTTGCATCATGTCCATTCAGATGGTGGCTCTCTTGGTCCTCTTGGTTTCCCACAACGGTTACCAAAACCTAAATTGGATATTGCATTTTGGGGAGAACAGAGTTAGAGAAGTATTCAGAAATATTACAGTTTAAATACAGGATTAAATACAGGATTTCTAGTATCAAATGCCATTTTCAAAATAGCTAAGGCACTCATGCAGGATGTATAGTCTTCCCATTGTTGATAGTGTACAACTCCCATGATCACTCATTATCGGCTAATGGGAATGACGCATTCTTCACTCCTGAGCTCCAGAAGAGGAACGCTATGGCCCTGTGCATGCTGGATTCTTGTCACCAGCCAACGGGGGCAATGGTTCGAGCTGATGACCTATTGTCTAGCAACATTTGCAGGGTCATAGGTTACCCAACCAAGTCTGGACTATCCCAAGCACTTTCCTAGGAAAAAGGAAACACTGTAGAAATTGTCAGTCACTTCCTGTTGTTTTTTTTTAAGTGCCCCTTTGGGGACAAAAATGGCCACGGGGTGCCTAAAAACCTGGAGAAAATTCTTCCATAAGCCCCTAGATCAGTGGTTCTCAACCTGGGGGACGGGACCGCAAGGGGGTGTCAGAGGGGTCGCCAAAGACCATCAGAAAACACAGTGTTTTCTGTTGGTCATGGGGGTTGTGTGTGGAATGTTTGGGCCAATTCTATCGTTGGTGAGGTTCAGAATGTTCTTTGATTGTAGGTGAACTATAAATCCCAGCAACTACAACTACCAAATGTCAAGGTCTATTTCCCCCAATCTCCATCAGTGTTCACATTTGGGCATATTGAGTATTCATGCTAAGTTTGGTCCAGATCCATCATTGTTTGAGTCCACAGAGTTCTCTAGGTGTAGGTAAACTACAACTCCAAAACTCAAGGTCGATGCCCACCAAACCCTCCCAGTCTTTTCTGTTGGTCATGGGAGTTCTGTGTGCCAAGTTTGGTTCAATTCTGTCATTGGTGAAGTTCAGAATGCTCTTTGATTGTAGGTGAACCTTAATATATCCCAGCAACTACAACTCCCAAATGATAAAATCAATCTCCCTCAACCCCACCAGTATTCAAATTTGGGTGTATTGGGTATTTGTGCCAAATGTGGTCCAGTGCATGAAAATACATCCTGCATATCAGATATTTACATTAGAATTTATAACAGTAGCAAAATTACAGTTATGAAGTAGCAACGAAAATGTTATGGTTGGTGGTCACCACAACATGAGAAACTGTATTAAGGGGTCGTGGCATTAGGAAGGTTGAGAAACACTGCTCTAGATAGTTATGTATGAAGTTGTGTGCACAAAGGGATAGTAATTATAAGGTTCTTCATTTGTTAAGCAGTCTCAGCATATAGTTTTATTGTATATGAGATCCTTCCTAAGCTGCAGTAATTTTTAAAACTGAAGAAGTGCTGCTAAATGTTTGTTCTTCCTGGACTCTATGACACATATATTGTTCTGCACATAGTCTATACAGAGAAACCTCAAACATTTTAGAGCTAAGTGAAGTATCTTGGCGAGAACTGTGTCCCACTGCACATGTCTAGACAGGATTCCCATTTTGCCACTCATTTCCTTTTTGCCCACTGCAGCTGCAGTAACATGTTCAGAAATGTTTGGCTTCAAACTGAGAGACTGCTGAGCTGCTTCATTTCTTCCCTTTTTAATCTTTTGTTTTCATCTTCTACACTTGTATTAACTGTTACCTTTTCTGTTCAATATGTTTCACATTAATGTTGATAAACTAGGAGCCTGCATCTAGACAGATATAGGTAGCTAATCCCCCAAGATGTTGCTGAACGGCAATTACCATCCCTTACCACTAGCTATGTTCCAAGAGCTTATGGGAACTGTGGTCCACCAACATGTGGACTTGAGAGCTTGTGAACCTCTATCATCATATTGACCTAGCAAAAAATGTATAATCAGCTTAAAATAACTATCAGTCTTCCAAATTCTGTTATAAGTGTATTCCTGAATTAATTCTGTTATAAGTTTATTCACTGAATTAATTACCAACAATATGAAATTCTTGCCGTAAGTCAACAAGAGACTTGAAGGCACACAGACTCACTGCAAGATGTAGGTTTCCTGTTGTAGTAAACTGTGAATCGCACATAATGGTATCTCTGCGCCTGCGCAGGCCAGCTTCGGAACCTTCTAGAAAATAAAAAGAGAGAATTTTGCTCCCCTCCTGGCCCCACCCCCTTCCTCGAGTATATAAGGCCCGTGGGCAGGGCCAGCCAGCCAGTTCTCTTAGTCCGCCGCCTTGGCAATAGCTAGAGAACCTTCGTTCGCGAGCTTGAATAATTTGGACTGCCTACTGGCTTGATTTGAACTGTTGGACTATTCTTTATTTTATTCAGACATGGCTACTACATCGTTTAAAAAATGTACTAGCTGCCCTAATATTTTACCCGACAATGATGGCCACTCCCTCTGCCTGACATGTTTGGGGGAGGCCCATCTCTCTCAGAAATGTTCGGTGTGTATGGCGTTTACACCTCAAACGAGAAAAAATAGGGAGTCTAGGCCTTATATACTCAAGGAAAGAGGCGGGGCCAGGAGGGGAGCAAAATTCTCTTCTTTTTATTTTCTAGAAGGTTCCGAAGTTGGCCTGCGCAGGCGCAGAGATACCATTATGTGCGAATTCACAGGTGACTACTCAGGAAACTATAGTTACAGGTAAGCAACTTATAATTCTGCAACTATCTAGAAACAAGTGCTTGCTCCTGAACATTATCCATGGACAAAATAACATGGCATTGTACTATTGTTGTAAGTCACAATACAAGAGTTTCTTAAAGTTAACAGTCGTACTCTTTGTATCTGCAGTACAGAAAGAATTCTGCACTAATGCCACATTACAAGTAAAGAAATAAATTGCAGTTTACCAATATCTGTAGTCTCAACGGGCCCTTCTGAGACTAGACCTCTTTTAGCAGTAGGGTTGGAAAGAGGCGGCTGAGGTATAGCATCAGTTTGTGATTTGTCTTCCATTTCAGTATGATCTGAGGAAAAAAGGACCCACTGATTTAGAAATTAATTCCAGCAATTATAAGGCATACAATCTGTTTTTGTACTCCAACACAGTGGTATGTTGCAGCATGTTATACTACCCGAAAAATGATTTTGGAGCGTTTTCCAGCATTCCCGGGCTAGTATTGGAGGTGTTCTGGGGAAAATGCTATGGAGAGGGAAAATTTGCACACGGTCTGTCAAAAGAGCCATCCCCAGACACTGGCCTAAGTGTCGAAACGTAATTCAATTAGAACCTAGACTTGTTCTAAGAAATTAGGTTTGAAGGATTTCCTAGAACTTAGTGTGCTCTAATACCTCATGTTAGAACATTAAAAGGCAAATCTGTTTCACTACCAGGTCAGAGAAACACAAGGCCAAATTTATTATTTCAGCAGTTCAATAAATGGGTATACCCTAGTTCCCTGATGGCAAACCTATGACACGTGTGTCAGCACTGACATGCGTAGCCATTTTCAATGACACGCGGCAGCATGCAGCCGCATACAGAGATGTATGGGGCTGCATGCCAGGTGCAGTAGCCAAGGATGAAACAATTGCTGTAATGTATTGTAGTCACTCTGTACCGGAGGTCTGTAGGCCAATACAACAGAACTCTGGCACAGAGCATCTAGTCCTGGGACTTCCAGTTAGGCTGTTAGAGAATCTTTGACCTCACTTCTGGCTGCTGGAGCAGGGAGCAGCGCAATGCCACGGGGGATGCATCTCTGGTGGCCCTGTGATCGCCATTACCAGCAACCACATAACCACAGCAACCATCATCCAATCTACTGTTCTGGGGTGTCGTGGATTTCTCTTTGACCATCATTACTGAGATAAGTGAGGGGGAAGCTGGAAGAGGCAAGGGCCTGTGCTATGGGTGCCATTTCCCACCATTAGAAATAGCGGCAGCCATCTTAATTTACATCTTGCAGCATAGTACAGACTCCATTTCACCACTATTACTTTTGTGCATCCTTATGAACCCCTATTTCTGCTTATTAACCCTGCCCTTTCCTAAAAGACAGTTACATGTGCCATCTTGTGGTCAGTTATGCTAGTTATCCCCTAATTGCCTAAAGTTCTACTGTATATTGCAATTATACATTTTTGTTATTTAAACTTTATATATCGTGAAATTATGGGGGGGGGGTGGTTTCTCAAAGTGACACACTACCCAAGTTATGCTCAGCTTTTGGGCGAATTTTGACACATCAAGCTCAAAAGGTTGCCCATCACTGCCCTAGTTAGAACTAACAAGTGACTTGAGTCACCCTGGTCAGATATATGTTTTGCCCATATTACTATCCTATATATTTCTCCCTACCTCCACACTTACAGTTTTGAAACTTATATATTTGCGCATGAATAGGTGATGTTACTGATATTACAGTTGAAGATATAAACACTTGCACCAAGATGAGGAACAAGTATGCATAAAATGCCTCTGCGCCAAGGTATTCATCTTTCAGAAAGCTTTCACTGGTTTGAATATACCTGTTCAATAACTCAGATGGGTAATCAATGTTTGGGGTAAAAGCCACTCTGTTCCATTGTCTAAACCCCACTCACATAATTAAAAGCTCCCCAACTTATATATCCTGATGCCCAAGCATGTTGTATACAAAGATGACTGCCACTGGTAAACAAAAATAATACTTAAGGGCCAAGTAGTTAGTCTGCTTACACACTACATAATTCTAGCTTCTTTCAATGAGTTGTCCTTCCACATCTGCAAAGTCTTCCAAAAAATCCTAGGGAACTGCTTCGTAAAGACCAATTTGGCCTGTTTCGCCTTGTATAGGTAAAGTTAATTAACACTCTGCACATAGAACTAGCTCGACGAGAAGGCATTTTTTTTGTCTTCTAAATCAAAAAAGAAGAAAGAAAACTGCTTACCAAGCTGTGCGGATCCAGCAGTTTTCAATTCCTGAAATTATAACATATATTCAATAATAAGAACAAAAGTTTGTAATTCAATGAAAGAAGAATTCTCATTTAAACAAATTCAGATGGATGGATAGGCAGTCAGAAGTATACCTCTGCTAAAACTTTCTAGAAAGAAGACTTTTTATCCCTGCCTAGTATTTGACTAGAATTTTTAGCAGTATAAGTCAATAGTAAGCAGTGCAATAAATTTGAAAAAACATGAATGAATTCCAATGCACACTGCACATATCTTATTTGTAGTGCAAAAAACACTTAAAATGTCAGGTTTTACAATGTATTGTAATGTAATATAGCTGAGTCATGCACTGCTAATAGGCTTCTATTGGAAATGCCGTCATGCATTAACTGTATATAGGGAATCGTTCGGGGAATGTGTTCTGGCCTAGTCCAGGTGATTGTGAATGATGTAATCCTGGGTTTGAGTTAAGTTAATGAGTTGGGAACCAATCAGAGATTGCTATGTGTAATTGTATAGAATTGTATATAAGGAAGTCATGTACAGTGTATATTTCTCCTTGTGCTGTGATGTTGTTCGTTGAAGGCTATATGTAATTAAAAGAACCTGTCTGCTAAGACAAGATATAACTGTATGCTGTGGTAAGTTTGTAATATCATCTAGACTGGGGGAAAGACAATGGTAAAACTGACAATGGCCGGGCATGTGCTCAAGTGTCTGTAAAAGGTTCCAGCGTGACTGCAGGCTGTGGGAGCAGTTGACTGAAAATACTGTGCAGGAAGAAGCTACTGGAAAGCGCTGAAGTTGTGCAACTGATCTGCTGCTGAGTTGTGGAGTTAATCTCAACAATTCTACTCTTAAAGTGACCCAATGGTGTGTGCCTTCTTACAACAGGCAAAGTAAATAGCAGCTGCCTTTGGAATTACTGAGAAAGAGTAAACAGGAAATCAAAGAAACAATGAGAGAACTAGATATGCCTCACAGCTACCTCCTCTATGTTAAAAAAGCGTGAACCTGTAAGTTTGGTCACCAAAATGGAAATTACTACAAATGTGGGGATTAGTAAAAGATAAAAAAAGAATCTCAGGATGAATTTACAGAAGAAACATTGTAATGATCTCCAGAAGACTCAAAATCTTCCTTCAGCTCCCTTCCTCCTGACCTTCAGGAAGAAAGTAAAATCCTGATTGTGGAACCAAGTGTTTGCACAACGATCCCCAGTACAACATTGATTTCTCAGTGCAATAATGAACAATGACAATTGGAATGGCTCCTGGAATATGCTTTTGGACTGTGATTTTAAGCAATTATCTTAAGTGATGTGTTTTAATTATGTGATTTTAAAATGTTTTTATTTTATTTCATATGTATTCAAGGCATCAAATTGTGCCTTTGCTGTGAGCCGTCCTAAGTCCCCTTCAGCGTGAGAAGGCTGGGATATAAATGTTGTAAATAATAAATAAAATGTTTTTTGAACTCATGTCAAGACAGTCCCTGAGTTACAAACACCCAACTTACAATGACTCACAGTTAAGAATGGGGACACAGCAAAACAAACTGCTACAGGGGTGTTAACCCTTCCCTATGCTACCCAAATCTATCGATCTAGTTAGTTACACTTTAAAAATGTACCTCTACCGACTTACAAACAAATTCAACTTAAGAACAAACCTACAGAACCTATCTTGTTTGTAACTTGGGGACTGCCTGCATTTCATTTAACGTGTGCATAATTTTAGTTCTGAATAAAAGGTCTGCTGAAACATGTTCAAACTGCTTTTTGCAGATTAAGACTACCCCTATTTTTGTGTTATTTCCGCTTCTCATATAAAAGTTGTTAAAGAAGTAATGCATCGACTTTGTTAATCTTATGTCTGCCTGTCAGTAGCTGTAGATAGACAGACAGGCAGACAGATAGATAAGATATGACCTAAAGACATCACATTTTCCTGCTGATTTCTTGTCAGTTCACAAAGTAGTCCAGAATTAGAAAACCTTGATGAGCATGGAAGTCTCCATTCATGATTAAAAACTATGGTGGTACTTGTTTGATTTTTCATCTACGTATCAGATGACCAGTTCAACTTGGTTACCAAATTGCACATGACACTCTTCTGTTACTTCATGTAAACAAGAATCTTATGTTGCCTCCAAATCAGTATCAGCTTTTAAGAGATCATTTGTGTACTCTTGAAACAGCCACGAAGTTTCTTCAAAAATAAGTCTATATGTGGCATTGGATGTGAGCATGCCAACATAGGTCTAGCCGATAAATCCTATTATGGCAGAGAGAATCTTGTTTTTAAACCACCGCTCACCATCTCCATTACTTATTCTTTCACCCCAAAATGCTGAAGATATCTAAATTCATATTTCAATACTGTGGTAGCTTCAAGAAAAGCAATTAATACCACAGTTGATTTCCTGCTATAAATTGAACAGACAACAACCTATTTTACATATACGGTGATTCAAAGGTTTTCCCTCAACATGTGAAGTTTTTCTATCTGGAAAATCTACATAGGTTTTTTTTTTTTTTTGGGAGGGGGGGTCTTGTTTACAAGCAATTTATTTACGGCATTTATATGCTGCCCTTCTTACCCCGAAGGGGACTCAAAGTGACTTACAATATATATTTCCATACAATATATTATATTATTAGCATAGTACAATATCAGTATTATATATTACTATATTGCACTACACCATTATATTGTAATATTATTAGTAATATTACATGTAATGTAAATAAATAATTATAATATTGTATTATTATTACTAGTATTATATTCTATTTTATTCAGTTCCTTCCATTTTAAGGTTTCTTAAACAAACAAATGATATGGATTGATTCAGAAGTCAAAAAACAGCCTAAGGAACTGTCACATAAAATGAGACTATGGGCAAACAATTATTTTGCACTTTGTTGGCTGAATATCATACAGTCATACAGCCAATTGATATTGCAGTGCTTTTTATTAATATGCTGTGAATGTTTCTTCCTGTTCCTCTGAATGCCTTCACACTTACTGTACATTTTGGTTGTTCTAAAGTGTTGTCGTCTTGTAACAAACTCCATTCAGCAGATCGCGGAAGGATAACAGCTTTCGGTAAAGTCGTAACTATGAAAAACCAGTTTAAAGTCAATTTTTTGATAGATATGCAATTCTATTAAAAAGCAAGACAGTTTTTTCAAAGAAGCGTTTAAGGAAGAATATTAATTACAACTTTGTAAAACTACACAGGGTTGCAGCGACTTTTTTTTTCCAATCCAGCTTTTATGAAGCTACTAAATCAGGACGAGCAATTGCACATACTGTGGCACATACATGTTTGAAGCTACATGTTGCAGCTGTGGGAGGTTTTTGCTACAAGCAAACATAATTACAAGCCTTATATATTAGGCAAAACACTAATGCAATGGCCTGAAGAAATTACCAACTAAATATGTGTTGCTGCATACTGTATTCATTTCAGCCTCTATAACAGGGGTCCTCAAACTAAGGCCCGGGGGCCAGATACGGCCCTCCAAGGTCATTTACCCAGCCCCCGCTAAGGGTCAACCTAAGTCTGAAATGACTTGAAAGCACGCAACAACAACAACCGTAACAACAATCCTATCTCATCAGCCAAAAGCAGGCCCACACTTCTCATTGAAATACGAATAAGTTTATATTTGTTAAAAATTGTCCTTCATTTTAATTATTGTATTGTTTTTAAGTGTTTTTTGCACTACAAATAAGATATGTGCAGTGTGCGTAGGAATTCATTCATTTTTTTTTTCAAATTATAATCTGGCTCTCCAGCAGTTTGAGGGACTGTGACCTGGCTTTCTGTTCAAAAAGTTTGAGGACCCCTGCTGTATAATAGGTATTTGGCCCCAAAACACCCCACATTTAATTCCAAAGTTTGATCCACAATTCTTGTCAAACTTACTCTGTTCGCCTGCAAGGACAAGAGACTCTGGAGTTCTTTCTGGCAAAGGAGGGGAAGAGTCTTCAGCAGCACCTGCATCTATATACACACAAACAGTTATACAAAGTGTATCCTTCTAATTTTTAAAAAGCACTTAATAAAAAGGAAAATAGAGGTGGTGAGAAGAATGAATCTAGTAGCTCCTTTAAAACCAACTGGTCTAGCTTCCTGTGCACTTTTGTAGATATTAATCCACTCTTTCACATGCACTGACAGAATGCAATGTTATAAAATAACACTTAAATAATTGATAGTATCGAGGCTCTTAGAATCCATTGGGATTTGGATGCTCAAGTCCCGTTATATAAAATGGCATATTAAAATGATGGCAAAATCAAGATGTGCTCTTTGGATTTTTTTAAACAAAAAAAATTCTAGCCATAGATGGTTGAATGTGCATACAGAATCCAGGATACAGACGGCTGACTAAATGTTTCTGTGAGTCTGGTTAGCTATTATGAGAACAACATGCTGGGAACTTTGAATAATACTGTATATACTCGAGTATAAGCCTAGTTTTTCAGCTCTTTTTTCAGGCTGAAAATGACCCCCTCGACTTATACTTGAGTCAAGGTGATTTATTATTTTACTCTGTTGTTATTATTATTAGTATATTTAGTATTTATTCTATTTATTATTATTATTATTATTATTATTATTATTATTATTACATTTATCATTTTACTCTATTATTACATTTTTTACTTTATAATTGTTTACTGCTATATTCATTATTTTACTCTTTTTATTACTATTATTACATTTCCATTATTTTACTCTATTATTATTATTACATTTATTATTTTACTCTATTATTATTGGAAGGATATGTAAGCATATTTACATTGAAGAAGGTTCAAATAATGGTTTAATCAGAGTTGGACAGTCTTATCTTAAATTACTGTTTTATGTAAATATTCAAAAACATTTCAACTACTGATGTCTCAATTAATGTAATTATATTGATATCTATTTTTATTTTGAAATTCACCAGTAGCTGCTGCATTTCCCACCTCAGCTTATACTTGAGTCAATACGTTTTTCCCAGTTTTTTGTGGTAAAATTAGGTGCATCGGCTTATATTCGAATATATACGGTACGTATCTATTTATTTACCTCCAAATATCCACCTTTGATATACAGCAAGCAACCACAACTGTTCTTTTTAAAAAACCGAAGTTCCGGTACCATATGAATCCAAATTCCCTCACTGAGCCTTTCCTCTTTGATAAAGCTACCATTCCAAATCTGGTTGAACATTGTTATTTGATCTACAAGTAGAATTAATTTACGATCATTCACACTTCGCTCAGATTTTTAAGCCTCATGGAAGAACAAAAATATAATTCCAATCACTGCTGTATTGTTTATGTACTGCTTCAGTACATGTCATATTGCCTAACAAAATGCTAGTTCTCTTGACTGACAACTGAATCGACTTTCCTGCCTCCACTCCAGCCACAGCCACCGAAAGGTCAGTGTGAAGGACTCTTAAGAAGAGAGAGCCTTGCTTTTGGTGGAGAGAAAACTGACAGGAAGTCAATAGGAGTTTTAAAATACACCATTTATCAGATCTGTATTTAACTCGATATAATTTTGGCCCCTATCTTTATTTGGTAATACATCTGGTGCAAACTAAATGGCAATAATATCACCACATCTAACTATAATTCTTGGAATTACAAGGTAAATGACCTAGCTCACAGATCTCCACCTACACTCAGATCTTTAACCTAAGGCTCTGAAATGCACTGCTAGGATCAGGAAAGCAGCTCCTCCCAAAAACAATCATATAATATGAGTACTGTATATACTCGAGTATAAGCCTAGTTTTTCAGTCCTTTTTTTAGGCTGAAAAAGTCTCCTTCGGCTTATACTCGAGTCTATGTTTTTTATTATTTTACTCTATTATTATTATTATTACATCATTTTACTCCATTATTATTACATTTATTATTTTATTCTTTATTATTGTTGTTATTACAATAAAGGATATGTAAACACATTTACACTGAAGATTAGAATAATGCTTTAATCAGAGGACAGTCTTATCATAACTTACAGTTTTATTCAAAAACATTTAACCTACCGATGCCTCAATTAATGCAATTTTATTGGTATCTATTTTTATTTTGGAATTTACCAGTAGCTGCTGCATTTCCCACCCTCGGCTTATACTCGAGTCAATCTGTTTTCCCAGTTTTTTTGTGGTAAAATTGGGTGCCTTGGCTTATATTCGGGTCGGCTTATACTCGAGTATATACGGTAATTCAAATGAAATTCATTTGTAGGATACGACCCAAACAGTGCCTAGATCTTTTTGAATTTGTCAGGAAAAGGAGAACAACCAGCTGCTTAAATTGCTTTGTCACAGTGCAGTAGGCTGCTCTCCCTTTCCAAAGTTGTTTGCAGGCTGGAGTTGTGTAGCCAAGTGTGGTGAAGTGTAAATGTTTAACTTGCAGTTATGTATAATTATAGATAGATGTTTTAAAAGGGTAAGTATTTAAAGTTGCATAACTAAGGGGGATGGTAGCCAGCTCAGCTCATGTTGAGCTGGGTTACCATGGACACAGGGGGCGGAGCCAACTGCCACTTGGCAGGGCAGCCATTTTAAAACAGCTAATCTGTAGTCAGCGAACTACAGGAGTGGCTGGTTCTGTTGTGTAGTGAAAACCAGGGAAGTAACCTGTAGTTTAAAACTACAGGGGAAGGCTGATTCTATAGTAGTAAGAATTAGGAAGGTTTTGGCTTTTAGCCTGAATAGTTTAAATAAGTCGAGTTGACCTATTTATATTAATAGTGTATGAGAGAAAGGGTGAGAGAAACACAGTGAAAATCTCTATTGCAACAGAAACATCACAAAGAAAAATAAGTTTAAAACCTGTTTAATAATGGAAGGAAGAGTCCTTTCTAAAGTGGTTTAAGAAACGTTATAAATGTAACCTATGAAGATATGTGCCTCTAAGAGAAAGAAACATTGAAACCATCATGCTCCTTCTACATTTCAATAAACTTGTTACTGTTTTTCCTAAAGCTCTGTCTCTGTTACAATTTCTTTCCAAGTTAAGTCACGCTACAGATTGAAGAAAGACCAAGTCAATATCACTAGCTATTAGCTACGCTATCAAATTAACAAACCCTTACAAAGTGGTGGCTCCTTTACAAACTCTTTAGAAATTAGTGGCCTTGACACAAATTGGTAGCATCGTTACACCAAGTATGAGAGATTCTCTGACAGTGGGGCATATGAGCCAACTTTCTACGCACTTTGTGATAATAGCATGAAATCTGACAGACAGATATTTATACTGCTTTTAAAAATGGCCACCAAATGCAATTTAACCTGTAAAGAAAAATGTAATTGATGTTATACACATTAGCATCTTAATATTCTCATTAGATAGTTGGTTCAGATGTTGTAGTTCTCTATATATTTTGCACAAAAAACTAAAACAAGGCAATGAGCAACTGGAACTGGACACATTCTGGTGCTTAGCCGACGATGACATGGCATCTCATCTACGACCATTACACAGCACACTTTGACATGATGTGACATTTGCCAGACTTCGCTGCACACAACAGGAATACATGTCCGAGAATTAAAATTTACATTGCTGAAGTTATCCTCAGCACCCAGTATTACATCAGAAATTTTCCCCTCCACTGAAAAAATCGGAAATCCTGTATTTTTAAAACAAATACCAGGAGTAATACAGATAAAGCATTGGATGGATTGTCTCCAAGTCCATGAAAGCTAAAATTTGATTTTTCTCAGTCTCAATGGTGCTACAGAATACCTTTATCCACAAGCCTACCCAGCCAGTTTTAAGCTAAGTATGAATTTTAAACTCATCTCCATTTTGTGTATTTCAATATGTATTTTATTGAAATACATTATAATATGTATCTTTTTATAGAAATACATTTTTACAGGTATTTTTTCAATGTTTGTGAATTTTAAATTATTCTGTAACCTCAAGTCATGAGGACAGATAAGAATTATTATTATTATTATATCAGCTAATGCTAAAACAGACAAATACAACATTTAGTATTTGAATGCTAAAGAGAAGTTATTTGCAAATAATAATTACTGTATATACTCGAGTATAAGCTTAGTTTTTCAGCCCCTTTTTTAGGCTTAAAAAGTTCTCGGCTTATACTCGAGTCAAGATTATTTATTATTTTACTCTGTTATTAGTATTTTTATTACATTTTTTAATTTTACTCTATTATTATTATTACATTTACATTATTTCCCTCTATTATTATTTTATTACATTTATTATTTTACTCTTATTATTATTATTATTATTATTATATTCATTATTTTACTCTATTATTGTTATTATTACATTTATTACTTTATTATTACCAATATTATTAAATTTCTATTATTTACTCTATTATTATTAAATTTCTCACCCTCGGCTTATACTCGAGTCAATACGTTTTTGCAGTTTTTTGTGGTAAAATTGGTGCCTCGGCTTATATTCGGGTCGGCTTATACTCGAGTAAATACGGTACATGAAATTAGTCCCACCTGCAAGGACAACTTTAGAGGGATGTATTAAAAGAACCATTCACCAAAGATATCCTATGTGGAGACACGCAATCCTACTAAGACAAGAATTTCCAGCACCAATTAAATGGGGTTGGACTAAAACTCGCAATGGCATTTATGAGCCAATTTAAACAATTTTGCCTGAAGCAGCTAACATCTGCCAAGATATCCAGCAATTGCAAAAAAGGAATGTAAGAAGTAAGGCGACTGCAAAAAAGGCTGAAGTTTCATGTACCACAGTATGTTTTTGTGAAGGAGAATATTTTCAGCAATGATATGTGTTATGTGTTATTTCAACGGTCAACTGAAATTTGGACAAGGACACTATTTTTTCCTTTTAATTAAAACTCACTTAACCAACACATATTTAAAGACAATAAATTCTAAAATTAATAAAATTCAACCATGATAAAGATGCATCTGTTTTGCTTCATTTTAGTTTTGTCCATTTCTATTCTTCACTGTCACTTGCTGTATTTGGTTTTCTCATTTCAGATTCAATGAAGGGAACATGGTTTCCAAGCATGGTCATTTTCATAGCTGAGTGAACCATAAACACCACTGCAAGGTTACAGTTCCAGATTGGATGGAAACAGAAACTGCAATACTATTTGGAGTGGCAATCCTGCATCTATCAGGGTATAATGCTACCACCACTCTAACATGTGGAGTTGGGTTCCATTTTCTATAGAGTTAGTAGAGTTCCTATAGTGAAAGGACCAAGGCAGTGACATCTCCAGCTCATCCCTTGTTTGGGTATCAGCCAGCATGTCAACGACTTAAATGAAGAAATAGTTTTCTAAGATCTACAGAGACACTCGCTGGAACACCTCAGCAAGCGAGAGTCCAAAAGTAGCAGGCTCAAACCAAGAACCTCAATCAATGGCTGATACCAAATGAGAGACTCCCCCCTGGGCACACACTTGGAAGACACTAAACAGACTGCGCTCTGGCACCACGAGATGCAGAGCCAACCTTCAGAAATGGGGCTACAAAGTGGAATCCACAACATGCGAGTGTGGAGAAGAGCAAACCACAGACCACCTACTGCAATGCAACCTGAGCCCTGCCACATGCACAATGGAGGACCTCCTTGCGGCAACACCAGAGGCACTCCAAGTGACCAGATACTGGTCAAAGGACATTTAATCAACTACCAAGCTTGCAAACTTTGTGTTTTGTCTGTTTGTTTGTTTGTTTTGTTAAAAATGTAATACAAATGTCTGGTTATTCCTGACACGATAAATAAATAAATAAGTAGAGTTCCTAGATATGCAGAATTGTATAAACCAGCAGATTGCATTTTAATCCAAAAGACAACCACAACAAGGACCCATCAGCTTCCAGAGTGTCAAAAGTGTTGCGGATAGAGGAAAGGGTAATAGATTGGAATGCTCAAGTCCCAAACATAATTTATAACAACACAGTATTATGGAAGTGGAAAATGAGGGAACAAAGATGGATAGGAGCACTGCACAGAACTCTCTTCAAAAACCATGAGCCTTTAATATTCAAGATAGGGTGCAGGGAAAGGAAAGGACCAAAAAAGATAACCTTTCATTCTAAACACTATCTATCTATCTATCTATCTATCTATCTATCTATCTATCTATCTAAATAAATAAATAAATAAATAAATAAATAAATAAATAAATAAAAACGTAATGCTCATTTGTGGGATTAACATAACTCAAAAACCACTGGACGAATTGCAAACCAATTCTGGACACAATACACCTCTCAGGCCAACGAGTGACCATCACTCATAAAAACACCGAAAGACACAGCAGAAGAGACTTAAAAAGCAAAAAAAACAAAAATTACATAATAACGCATGCACAAACCCACATATATACACATATAAAAACACACATATATACACACAAAACACACATACACAGACTGGGCCCCAGCAATGCGTGGCAGCTAGATATAAATAAAAATGTAATGTTCATTTGTGGGATTAACATAACTCAAAAATCACTGGACAAATTGACACCAAATTTGGACACAAGCCACCTAACAACCCAATGTATGTCCTTCACTCATAAAAACACTGAAAAACACACCAGAAGAGACTTAAAAGCCAAAAAAAATACATTACAATGCATTCACAAAACCACACACACACACATATGCAAACACACATATATACACATATACACAAAAATATGCACACATATATACACACACACACAAACTGGGCCACAGCAACGTGTTGCAGGGGACGGCTAATATATATAAAATATATGTGAAATCAAGCACATCTTACCTTTATCACCTCTAGAATGTCTTGTGGGTGGGTTATCCTGCCTTGCAATGGACATTGGCAATACTTTTCTACTAGAAACATTTTCTGCACTGGCTGCTGCAGAAACTGTGGCACTCGCAGTTGAAACATTAGACATGTTTTGTGTCACACATCCATCGGCATCTTTTTCATCTGTATCAGAATCATCAGAATGTAGAGGATTTGTAAAACAAAGGGGAGCTCTTATTGAAAGCATGCCACTGTGATGATTGGCTGGTTCAATGGAAGGGAGATCCGTTTGAGACTGTGCGTCCGGTACTAATGACAGATTTTTAACACCATGACATAAAACAACTGAAGATGTGTCCTCTGGTACGGGATGTATGTTGTTAGTTCCTTGTAATGACCATGTTGCATGCCCTTTCTCTTTAAGAGGTAAACAATCTGGTCTTTGCAGAGCATCAGAACTTCCTATACACTGACATCCTTCTGATGAGGATGCTACAGATTTATTAAGTGGTTGTACATTGCATTCTACACAAGAGTTTTGTAAGGAATCTGTGGGTGCATCTCCTGAGCCGATCTCCTGTGGTTTGACAGTCTTATCTACAACACAAGATGAGCCAGTTTTAATTTTAATTGCATGTCCGCGATTCAAGAGGGTGTTGCCATCAAAGCTCTTTGGTCCCTCTTGGAGAGGTACCTTTTTAATTTCAAAGCTCAAGTTGCGCTCCAGCTTTTTCTCTGTGTGTTCAGAGACTTCACTCTTCCCTGGGTGTTCTGTTGATTTATTGTAGTTTTCATTGAGGTCAGTTGGATGTTCTGAAGAAACCATATGCAATACAGGCTTTGGGTGGTATCTATCATTGTCCTGCCAAACTGTTGTGACCGTGGGATAGGCTGAAGGAGGCGATGGTGTCAGAATGGGCGGTACTGGATGAGGCTCTGGTGGCTGAAGGATTTCTTCTTTAACATCACCCTCTACAAGGCAACTAAAGCATAATTATTGCCTAAGTATGTTATCATTAAAGATTCAAAGCATTACAAACATCTTATCAATTTAGTGCAGGCACTGGAAAAGAAGCTCCAGACTTTCAAGACTTATAGCCACAATTAAAAAGAGCCATATTTTAGACACAAAAACTGAGATGTTCAAGTATAATTTGGCAAATAATTGCAAAAGCCATAACTTTTTCCCCCAACATCATTAGTGTTGACAACAAGTTATGACTAAAGGTCAATCCAGAAATATCTTAAGGATACCTTACGGCAGGGGTCCTCAAATGAAGGCCCGGGGGCCTGATACGGCCCTCCAAGGTCATTTATCCGGCCCTCGCTCAGGGTCAAGCTAAGTCTGAAATGGGTTGTTGTAGGTTTTTTTGGGCTGTATGGCCATGGTCTAGAGCAGGGGTCCTCAAGCTAAGGCCCGGGGGCCGGATGTGGCCCTCCAAGATCATTTACCCGGCCCTCGCTCAGGGTCAACCTATGCCTGAAATGACTTGAAAGAACACAACAACAACAACAACAACAACAATCCTATCTCATCAGCCAAAAGCAAGCCAACACTTCCCATTGAAATACTAATAAGTTTATATTTGTTTAAATTGTTCTTCATTTTAATTATTGTATTGTTTTTAAGTGTTTTGCACTACAAATAAGATGTGCAGTGTGCATAGGAATTCATTCATGTTTTTTTTTAAATTATAATCCGGCCCTCCAACAGTTTGAGGAACTATGATTTGGCCCTTTCTTTAAAAAGTTTGAGGACCCCTGGTCTAGAGGCATTCTCTCCTGACGTTTCGCCTGCCTCTGAAATGACTTGAAAGCGCACAATAACAACAACAATCCTATCTCATCAGCCAAAAGTAGGCCCACACTTCCCATTGAAATACTAATAAGTTTATATTTGTTAACATTGTTCTTCATTTTAATTATTGTATTGTTTTTAAATGTCTTTTGCACTACAAATAAGATATGTGCAGTGTGCATAGGAATTCATTCATGTTTTTTTCCAAATTATAATCCAGCCCTCCAACAGTTTGAGGGACTGTGACCTGGCCCTCTGTTTAAAAAGTTTGAGGACCCCTGCCTTAAGGATTAACTCAGAGGAAAAGGCATCTTCTATGGCCTATAGGAAATCACTGGACCCATTATTTTGAGTTTAGATTGCCTACAGTAATGTCAATTTTACCTTAGTGAGCAGTCAACCTGCCCTCTTGTGGTCAAATCTGGAAAATGTGTTGGGGGCAAAGGTAACAAAATAATAAGTGGAGACTGCATCAGCTTTTGGCAAGTTTTTGGAAACATCTAAGTGCCATTCTCATTTGGAAAGGTGGAATACTGACTAGATGGAATACTTGAATATTGTATGGAATACTGACTAGATGGAATACTTGAAAAGAAGCCATATAACATCATCTCAGCACATTACTTCATATGCTTTTTATAATAGTTTTCACTGACTCATAATGAAATAATTAAATAGTTTTCAAAGTGACCAAATTGTGCAATACCTTTAATGCTAACTAGTTATTTTAACATTAACCTTCATGGAGTTTTTACTCCAAACTAAAGTTAATCTTAAGGGGGGCCACAAAACTTTTTATTTCCTTTTCTTCTCTTGTTCCCCTTCTGTTTACACTGATACAGATTTAGGTAAGGTAAAGGTTGTCCTCTGACATTAAGTCCAGTCATGTTCGACTCCGGGGGTTGGTGCTCATCTCCATTTCTAAACTGAAGAGCCAGCGTTGTCCATAGACACCTCCAAGGTAATGTGACCAGCATGACTGCATGGAGCACTGCTACCTTCCCGCCAGAGCGGTACCTATTGATCTACTCACATTTGCATGTTTTGAACTTCTAGGTTGCAGAAGCTGGGGCTGACAGCGGAAGCTCATGCCACTCCCCGGATTCAAACTTGTGACCTTTCAGTCAACAGGCTCAGCAGCTCAGTGGTTTAACCCACTGCGCCACCGGGGGACCCACAATACAAATTTACACAATTATAAATTTAGCTTTAGCAAACCTGTGTAAACTAAATCTGGAGAAAAAAAAGCTCTACAATAGATTGTACTTTTAAAAAGTTATTCATAGAATAATAAAATCATAGAATCAAAGAGTTGGAAGAGACCTCATGGGCCATCCAGTCCAACCCCCTGCCAAGAAGCAGGAATATTGCATTCAAATCACCCCTGACAGATGGCCATCCAGCCTCTGTTTAAAAGCTTCCAAAGAAGGAGCCTCCATCACACTCCGGGGCAGAGAGTTCCACTGCTGAATGGCTCTCACAGTCAGGAAGTTCTTCCTCATGTTCAGATGGAATCTCAACATGAGGAAGAACTTCCTGACTGTGAGATTAACATATTGTCAGATGTTAATTTCTACACTGTACAGGTTGAGTATCCCTAACCTAAATTGCTTCGGACCAGAAGTGTTTTGGAATTCGGAGTTTTCAAAATTTTGGAATAATTATATTTGCACATACATACATAATGAAATATCTGAGATAGGAGTGAAGCCAAACATGAAATTCACTGATATTTTGTATACACTTCATTCACCAGGCCTGAGGATAATTGTATACAATATTTTAATAAATGAAGTTTGTGTGCACTGAACCATCCGAAAGCACTTAGTGTCACTATCATAGCCACTCATGTGCACAATTTTGCATTTTACAGTATTTTGGTATTCCAGATAAGGAATATTTAACCTTTCTTAGGACACAGAAATCATAAAACATTAGATTTGCAGAAATGTCAACTGAATTTGGTTACTTTCTTTTTCACCTTTAACAACCCTATTTTCAAATACCTATTATACTATGTCATTATTTTGAACTGCACACTCCCATGAATTTACTGTCAGATAGATAAGAAATAATAGAATAAATGATGCCAATTTCCACTATAGTTCTTTTTCACAAAACTCCCTATCATGATGTAAGAGCGTACACAAAGGCAAAGGCCTTTGTGGGAAAGAAATTAAATTCAATAATGTCTTACACGGTCCACTAGAAACTACAAAAGGCCTGGGTCACAGAATGGAGCACAAACAGCCAGTTCCCACAACCTAATTACTCAAATTGCTTCCGGTGGAAAGTGCAACGATTACTACTAAGGTTTTTGAACTCATTAGGTGAAATGTGATACTTAATGAGAGATAGCATAATTTGAAGAAATGATTGCCAGGACTATACAGCAATCCACTAATATTAGATGAATGCATGATGTCAGATTTTCAATATCCCCCCCAATATTTGGCTGGTCAAAGAGAAAATCAAAGATGGTTTCGACTTCTTCCTTACTACTGTATTCTGCTTCACTGATGAGAGATGGCTAAATTTTATTATAAAATTTATTGTACTTATAATATTTCTACAATAGAAACTTCACTATGCTGAAATAACAATAGTAAACATATACGTGGCTTTTCAGATATTTCTGGATTGCAACCACTACCAGCCATAGTCAGCATCAATTGTGTGGATGAAGGGCGCCACACCTCCCAATTTAGAAAGTCACACATTCCACCCCTGATCTCTTCAGATGTTTTAAAGAATTCAGTATATAAAATATAGTTTGTCTACACAGAGCCATCCAAAAGCCAAAGTATCTCCAGATATTATGAGCAGAGGAGTCTAAAATGAATTAACGGAGTCATTTGCTTTGTATCAGGAGTACCTGCGAGTTCGAGGTGGCTTTGGTGGAGGAGAATCCTGTTGCTCAAGGTCTGCAGAACTCTCAGTATTCTCTGTGTTAACTTCATTCTAACAAGAAAATTATTCAAAATGTAAGAAACACATACACAGAAAGCTGAACCAAAAAAAGAAATAGAATGAATATATAAAATGTAACATAGTCATTGATACATTAATTGCACAGGATTCCATTTTAATAAGCACTTTTACAAGAAGGTTGTAAACAAGAATCCAAAATTGAGACTTACAAACCACTCATATTTTGTTGAAGGCTTTCATGGGCGGAATCACTGGTTTGTTGTAGGTTTTTTGGGCTTTGTGGCCATGTTCTAGAGGCATTCTCTCCTGATGTTTCGCCTGCATCTATGGCAAGCATCCTCAGAGGTAGTGAGGTCTGTTGGAACTAGGAAAAAGGGTTTATATATCTGTGGAATGACCAGGTTGGGACAAAGGACTCCTGTCTGTTGGAGCTAGGTGTAAATGTTTCAACTATTTTATTTATCGCGTCATCAGCAACTATTGTATTACAATTCTAACAGAGCAAAACAAACACACAGATTAAAAAGAAAAAGGAAAAAAAACCACAGATTTTGCAAATTTGGTATTTGGTTAAATGTCCTTTGACCAGTATCTGGCCACTTGGAGTGCCTCTGGGGTTGCCGCAAGAAGGTCCTCCATCGTGCATGTGGCAGGGCTCAGGGTGCATTGCAGCAGGTGGTCAGTGGTTTGTTCTTCTCCGCACTCACATTCTGAGGATTCCACCCTGTAGCCATGTTTCAACAGACCACCTTGATTAGCATTTGATGGCCTGGCAAAACAACAGAGAGGAAACAAACAAGGACATCTAATCACCTCTCAACAAAAGATTGCCCCAGGCACTGCCAGGCTATCAAATGCTAATCAAGGTGGTCAGTTGAAACATTCACACCTAGCTCCAACAGACAAGAGTTCCTTTGTCCCACTCTGGTCATTACACAGATATATAAACCCTTTTTCCTAGTTCCAACAGACCTCACTAGAATCATAGAATCAAAGAGTTGGAAGACACCTCATGGGCCATCCAGTCCATCCTCCTGCCAAGAAGCAGGAATATTGCATTCAAATCACCCCTGACAGATGGCCATCCAGCCTCTGTTTAAAAGCTTCCAAAGAAGGAGCCTCCACCACACTCCGGGGCAGAGAGTTCCACTGCTGAACAGCTCTCACAGTCAGGAAGTTCTTCCTATGGTTCAGATGGAATCTCCTCTCTTGTAGTTTGAAGCCATTGTTACGCGTCCTAGTCTCCAAGGAAGCAGAAAACAAGCTTGCTCCCTCCTCCCTGTGGCTTCCTCTCACATATTTATACATGGCTATCATGTCTCCTCTCAGCCTTCTCTTCTTCAGGCTAAACATGCCCAGCTCCTTAAGCCGCTCCTCATAGGGCTTGTTCTCCAGACCTTGATCATTTTAGTCGCCCTCCTCTGGACACATTCCAGTTTGTCAATATCTCTCTTGAATTGTGGTGCCCAGAATTGGACACAATATTCCAGGTGTGGTCTAACCAAAGCGGAATAGAGGGGTAGCATTACTTCCCTAGATCTAGACACTATGCTCCTATTGATGCAGGCCAAAATCCCATTGGCTTTTTTTGCCGCCACATCACATTGTTGGCTCATGTTTAACTTGTTGTCCACGAGGACTCCAAGATCTTTTTCCTTCTCCCTCCCATTCTGTATCTTTGCATTTCATTTTTTCTGCCAAAGTGGAGTATCTTGCATTTGTCACTGTTGAACTTCATTTTGTTAGTTTTGGCCCATCTCTCTAATCTGTCAAGATCGTTTTGAATCCTGCTCTTGTCCTCTGGAGTATTGGCTATCCCTCCCAATTTGGTGTCGTCTACAAACTTGATGATCATGCCTTCCAGCCCATCATCTAAGTCATTAATAAAGACGTTGAACAGGACCAGGCCCAGGACAGATAGAAAAGACTGCACAATACACAAACTTTCAGTACTAAGTCATAGAAGTAGCCTGAGCAGGGAAAAAATGAGACTTAGCTCTATCCAATCCAACTGTAACTGTGAGTGCCTGCCTACAACAAGCAAAGTAAACAGTTACCTACAACGTCCTTATTCAATATACATCAGCAGAGGAAAGGGGAGAACAGTAAACAGTTTCTGGAGACAAGCAAATATTCGAGGGAGGGGGTCCTTATTTTTTCCTCCTGGTCTTTCCATCTCAAAACAAGTCCAATTAAATCACATCTTTATTTATAGGGAATGAGGCAACATTTGGATGTTGTATGTGATAATGAAGTAATAGCAAGCTATATATGTATGTTTCCTCGGCAAAAATCATTGAACTTGGCAGATAAAAGGAACAGACATGCAGTAAGAAGATGAGAAATAATCATGAATTGCAGAAATGATGCAATATATAAATTGGTTGTAAAAAGTTACTCATAATTCAGTTCTGAGAAAAGACTTTGTTTTAAGATAAAGATACTATTTCAAGGCAATAAACAGAGAATTTGGAAGAAGGTTACAAGGACAATGAGAGCAAACCAGCTTCCGTGCAACAAGGAGGGGGTCAAAGAAGAAATGGAGCCATAAGCAGATTGCTGGAGATATATTAATATAAGTCTAGGACTTAAATCTATATAAATAAAAATGTAATGTTCGTTTGTGATATTCACAGAACTAAAAAACCACTAGATGAATTGACACCAAATTTGGACACAAGACACCTAACAATCCAATTTATGTCCTCCACTCAAAAAAATTGATTTTGTCATTTGGGAGTTGTCGTTGCTGGGATTTATAGTTTACCTACAATCAAAGAGCATTCTGAACTCCACCAATGATGGAATTGGGCTAAACTTAGCACACAGGGCTCCCATGACCAACAGAAAACTGGAAGGGTTTGGTGGGTATTGACCTTGAGTTTGGGAATTGTAATTCACCTACATCCAGAGAGCACTGTGGACTCAAACAATGATGGATCCTGACCAAACTTGGCACGAATATTCCATATGCCCAAATAGGAACACAGGTGGAGTTTAAGGGAAATAGACCTTGACATTTGGGAGTTGTAGTTGCTGGGATTTATAGTTCACCTACAATCAAAGAGCATTCTGAATTCCACCAATGATGGAATTCAACCAAACATGGCATACAGGACTTCCATGACCAACAGAACACACTGGAAGGGTTCGTTGGGCATTGACCTTGAGTTTGGGAGTTGTAGTTCACCTACATCCAGAGAGCACTGTGGACTCAAACAATGATGGATCTGGACCAAACTTGACACAAATTCTCAATTTGCCCAAATGTAAACACGGTGGAGTTTGGGGAAAATAGACCTTGACATTTGGGAGTTGTAGTTGCTGGGATTTATAGTTCACTACACTTAAAGAGCATTCTGAAACCCACAAATGACAGAAATGGGGCCAAACTTCCCACACAGACCCCCCATGACCAGCAGAAAATACTTAAGGCCATCCAGTCCAACTCGTTTCACCAGGGCAAGAAAATGTAATCAGAGCCCTCCTGACAAAGAGCCATCCAGCCATAAATATAGATAGATATGATTCACACACAGAGAGATATAGTATCATAGATTTGAAAGAGACCCTTAAAGAAGGACTATGATATGTTGCATATTCCAGAGTAGGCAAACCAGACACTCTCCACATCAACACTGACAAAGAAACAACAAGAAATACTGTTTACTCACAAGCATAAAGGAATTACATATATTAGAAACCAACACTTTCTCATTACTTTATTTTCCAGATCACCAGACTGGACCACAGCAACGTGTGGCAGGGGACAGCTAGTCATTTAATAAAAAAGCAGTGACCTATTGAACCAGCCAAATGTATTACATATTCTCACCTCATTCAGTATATTGTACATATACACTGTTGTCATTACAAAACATCAACAGAATTGCACTCATGGCACAAGGGTAAGTGTTTTAACTGCTTACAGTCAAATATTTACTCATGATCCCTGTAACACAAGCATTCCCCATTAAAGGAAGCAACCAATTAATACACTGTGTATTCAATTAATAAACCAAATGTTCTGGCTACTGAACATGTGGATTAAGACATTCGCTTCTGGTACTCAAGACGGGGGGGGGGGTAGGCGGGACACCAAAACCGCAAGCATTTATAATGCATGTTCCAAAGATCAGCTCATCCACAGTGGCAAAGAACAGATGGTGGTCTTAAGAAGAAAACCATTCGTCTTCCTAAAGCAGATTGCTTTTAGCCAACTTCTTGCCTATTTGCCTAGACAAATGTTGTTCTGTTGTATTTTGGTAGTTGAATTTAAGAAAGATTTCATTTTGGTGCCAAGGCATCTAGAGCTTGATCTATTCAGTTTCAAAAGCTGATTACATGCATATTATATTATGTTCATGCATTACTTCGTCCAGTAGGAATGGTGTGCAGACCAAACCTCAAAGCGGAGGACTTCCTGCCTTTATCTCCAATCAGTGGCTAGCGATGACAGCAGGGATTCCTTTCCACAACGGAATCCAGGGATTGAGGCTGAACAGGAATGGGCCAGAATAAAGACTCCTCCCAAACCCAATTGACATCTTAAAACCTTTGGACTACATTTTTATCTAGCACTTCAAATGGGAAGTTTTCAGAGGGCTTATAAGTTTGAATTACAAATATATAGTAAACCTAAGAACCGAGTGTGAGCATAAGTTTTAGCAATGCTTGCTCCGGTTCAAGAAGGCATAGCACTGTCCTGCAAGTCCATCTCACCTGCTCAATACGGACATAAATGGGGCTCAGGCCTACTATAGCTGGAGAAGGAGGCCCCCATATATTAAGAAATGCCTTAATAACTTTCAGTGCAAGTGCATTAATGTGTAATATAACCATAACAGATATTCCGAAATGAAGATTTCATGAGAACATAGGTACTAAGCAACTACAAGAAGCTCCCAAAATATGAACAAGATAGGTTCTGTAAGTTTGTTCTCAAGCTGAATTTGTTTGCAAGTCAGAACAGATACATTTCTAAGTGTAACTCCAGCCACATAAATACATACATACACACACAATACACACACACACATATATACACACATAACTTTATAGCATATAGAAGGGTGAACACTCCTGTGGAGTTTGTTTTGCTGTCTGTGCATCTGTTCAGAAGATTTCACCTCACTTTCTATCCCTATTGTAATTGGATTTTGTGGAAACAAGGATTGGAGATAAAGTTTCAGTGGAGACACCTTTTCCAATTTGACATACAACTTAAATGCCAATTTGACATTCAACGTATACAGACGTACACAGATGCTATTTAACTTTTTGTGGCTGCCAAGGGAGCTGTCGCTTTCATCGTCCATCTGCGACACTGATGAAGTACTTCCGCATTCCCCGCATACTTTTGCTGGAGTGCTTTGCTGGAGTCTTTTTTATGGCCTCATAAATTTGTTAATTTAGCCTCCCCACACAATGTGGTACCTAATTTTCCTACTTCATTCCTGGATTCCTCTAAAACCTTGCAGGTGAAATTCCTTTGTATTCCATGTATGCTGTGCATGTGCCTTAATGGACAAATGTCAAGATTTTCTTCTGCAAGAGAAGTAGTAGTATGACTCGCACTATTTCTGCTGTACTTGAATATTGACACACACCTCTCCTTGTCACTCTCTCTCTGAAATCCATGGAGAACTCAGGTGAACAATACTGGCAAACACTGCCAAGCTGCTGAGAGGATTCTGGGATTCCTCTCACCAGCTTCTTCTTAGAACGGCATCAACACTGATAACTAACACCAAAATGCTTTAATTTGCATATTCAATGCTTCCTCAACCCTTCCACTGAGTCTAGAGTCTCAGAAGCCTTTTAAGGACTACTTAATTTGGTTACTTCAAACCAAAGAGCTTCACGGAGAAGACAAATACTTCATCTGTTTGAGGACTACAGATCTATTACTCCACTATAAAATCGCTTATTTAATCACTGCCATAAGATGACCTAGTTTTTCAGCATTTAGATTGTTATAAATCCTCCTTACCCCAACTTGTTCAATGCCACTCAGGGGCTTCTTTGCCTTAGTAGGGGTTCAAACCCTGGTTTTCCAGAGTCGTAGCCTAACACTCAAACTACTATATCATCTTCTCCAAGGGTACTCCCAGCAATATGTCCTCAAACGCACTTTAAAAATGATTTTGGATTGTCTGCACATTTCTTCCCTCTTCAAAACCTTTATTCCAATTACATGCTACCTGTTCATGCCCAGCACTATTTTTAAATTTTTAATTACTGCATTTGGCTCAGCCATTGGTTTTTAAATGTGAACACATTGAACTCCTCTGGTTATTGTTTTTCCTTATTTTGCTATGAGTTTTGTATTGTTTTGTATTATTGCTGTTATTGTTATTGTGTTGTGGGCTCGGTCTCATGTAAGCCGCACCGAGTTGTCATGGGAATCCCTTTAGGTACATAATAATAATAATAATAATAATAATAATAATAATAATAATAACAACAACAACAACAACAATAATAACAATCTTTATTTATACCCCGCCACCATCTCCCCAAGGGGACTCGGGGCGGCTTACATGAGGCCAAGCCCAACAACACATCAGTAAACAACAAAGCAGCAAGCAAATAAAACATTACAATAAATATAGCTCACATATAAGCAATAACACAAAAAAATTTAAAAACCTCAGAGTAATTTTCACATGTCAGCATCCAAAGGATCCTGACGTGAAAATTAACATGACACTCTATGTGGATTAGGGCTTCCCTTCTCATTGAAGCCCATCACACAAGGTTGGAATTCATGCAGAGCCTCTTTTTCAGCATAATTGCCCAGAAATATTGCAAAGAGCTAACTAGCAATTGATCTTTATTTTATATCCTAGTCTGGCATGTGATAGATGACAGTGAAAAATGACAGTATGATATATATCTTTGAGAGCCTATCTTCTTCTAGAGCAAAGGTGTCAAACTTGTGGTCCTCCAGAAATTTGGACGCCAACTCCTAAAAACCATAGCCAACTTGTCCAATAGCAAGGAATTCTGGGAGCCGAAGTCCAAAACACCTGGAGGGCCACAAATTTAACACCCCTGTTGTAGAGTTAGAATCCCACCAATACCTCCACAGTATCCTTAAGAGACTCTTTCTCCCGCCAGAATGGGATTCATCACATCACAAAGACAGGGGGTGCTGATGGATTGTACATCAGTGTGCAATGAATTAGCTCTAGTTTTGAGCCCATGTTTTAAAATAACTATCCAAAATTCTGAAATCTATCTCCATGTTAGGTTCAGTACACTGGAGATCTCCTGCAAAGTTCAGGCTAAGAGTCCAATGACATGGAAAACATCACTGCAGAGAGAAGAAAATATTTCCACCACTGCTTGGAATACTGGTGCACATAAGAAAGCATAAAATGGGGATGGAACAAGGGAAAAAGAAACTTAGTTTCTAGCCATAGACCCTATGCTGAAGCCTTAAGAGAAAATACTAAAAATATACCAATAATCAAGACAGTAGGATTTTAATTGTAAACTATTTCTCTAGATTGGAAGTAGCTAGACATTTATGGATTGTACTGAGACAATCGACCAAGTAAGAAAAACAACTCATAAAAAGAATAGTAATGTCTAATCCCTGATCACCACTAAACAAAACAAAAGCAATTATACTCCAAGGAAACGTTACTATTTAAAATATTCTTAAGGTGCCAAAAAAAATCCACATACCAGGCCATCTGCAATTTTCAAGTTTGCACAACTCTCATATTTTTGCAGTTGTTTTTCAAACAACTGTGCAATGGCTCGATGAACAAGTTCATACTGTTCCTATGTACAAGATAAAGACCAAGATTAGCATATAGAAATATAATTTCAGAAAGCCAGTTTTACCCAAACACTCATGCCACAGTCATAGAAGTGCTCTTTTGTATAAAGGCAATATTACCTTCGTTTGTACTGCAGAATGTCTCTGTGTCCTCATTTCTTGAATTAAACTGAACACATTGAACTCCTCTGGTATTTTCTGTGATAGAAAAGAGCAAAAGGAGAAATTGCTTTGTTTCAAATATTATCTAAACAGTCACAAAATGCTTCAGCTTTCAATATTTGCAGATACTAAGATATTTCAATTCTGATTTTATGATTTAAGAAATGAAAGCACAAAGGAGTCTTGGTATTATTCTCAGGAAAACTAAATGACAAAGGGTACTAGTTCACTCAAATCTCATTTTCAAATTATTCTCAATTTTCCACATGGACTACAGATCTATTATTCTACTATAAAATTGCTGCTTTAATCACTGCCATAAGATGACCTAGTTTTTCAGCATTTAGATTGCTATAAATCCTCCTTACCCCAGCTTTCAACAAATTCCATGTATAATCTATGGCACAGATGGCTCCTGTTCTTCCACACCCTGCGCTAAAGGGGGGTAAAGACAAGCACAATTATTGAAAAACAGATGAAAACTCTACATTTTTGTCTGTACATACTGAACATTTGATAGGAAGCATTATTTTGGAAGGCACTTTTATAAGTGAAATTCTTTAAAGGAAATTTTATTCTGAATTACTATCAATAAAAATATTATCACAAGCAGACTCATATTTTGATCATAAAAGTTTTAATATCCAATAAAGTAAACTATTTAAACAACATGGCAAAGCTTTTATCTATTTTATGGACAGTACATGAACTGGATGCAGCACATTGTATAACAATGAATCCCAAATAACCCTACAACTGTTCACATTTTATTTCATGAGCAACCAAACATCAGATGTAGTAGAGAGCAAAAATCATTTCAATATATAGCATTCCAAATGTTTTCAAAGTGGTTAGTTACAGAATTCAGAACACTATTACCTATATAAATAAAAATGTCATGTTCGTTTGTGATATTCACAGAACTCAAAAACCACTGTACAAATTGACACCAAATTTGGACACAAGACACCTAACAACCCAATGTATGTCCTTCACTCAAAAAATTGATTTTGTCATTTGGGAGTTGTAGTTGCTGGGATTTATAGTTCACCTACAATCAAAGAGCATTCTGAACCCCACCAACGAATGGAATTGAACCAAACTTGGCACACAGTTCTCCCATGACCAACATGGAAGGGTTTGGTGGGCAGTGTCCTTTGGTTTTGGAGTTGTAGTTCACCTACATCCAGAGAGCACTGTGCACTCAAACAATGATTGTGGTGCAGGTGCACCACAATCTACACAAATACTCAATATGCCCAAATGTGAACAATGGTGGAGTTTGGGGAAAATAGAATCCTGACATTTGGGAGTTGTAGTTGCTAGGATTTATAGTTCACCTACAATCACAGAGAATTCTACCCCACCAACAATAGAATTGGGCCAAACCTCCCACACAGAGCCCCCATGTGGGCCACAGCAACGTGTGGCAGAGGACGGCTAGTAGTTAATAAATATAAATTTGTTTCAAAGCAGATTTCATTAATACGTTCCTTCTCTTACCAGGAACTCTTTGAAATTTACTATAATAAGAAGGTGCTTACATGTTTGGTCAAAAATTATGATCTACATGATTTTTTAGCAAAAAAGAAGAGCTCCAAGGCATGAGTAGACAATATATGCTTTATGCAACATACATTTTCAATTAAATTCCTAATTAGAAATGATAGGACTTTTTCAGACAAAATAATGTTGACATGACACACTGGAACATTTTGGTTTTGATTTCTACCTTAACCTATCTCAAATTTTTCAGAGCAGGATAAAAAAAAATTTTGAACAAGCACTTTATGCTCCCAGTTCTTCAGTTATACAGAAACAGAAGCAGAAAGTGGAGAAATGGGAGAAAGCTTTCCAAATAATACTTTGTATGCACTCCTGTTTAAACTCCGGTAATAACAAGCACACACAAATTGTAATTTAATACCTGCAATGTATACAAATAGGAACATCTTCATGTTCTTGATATTCTCTCATTAAACTGATCATGTCCAAAATAGAATCAAAAGATGAAGGAACATCATGGTCAGGCCAATTGACATAATGAAACTGATATATCCTACGTGTTTCCTAAGGAAAAAGAAAAAAAATTAACATCTCCATTTTGGCAAGAGAGGCGTCTTCATTGAAAGGCAAGATGAAAATATCTGAAAAAATAAACAGATTAACAAAAAAGAAAATGAAAACAAATCATGGAAATGTTGTGGGTGCTGCTTCATACAAATGGTTCATCACACAGACATGACCATGAAATTCATCTCCAAGAGGCAACTGCAATACATTAGTACCATATATTGCGGCATATAAGACGACTGGGCGTATAAGACCCCCTCCCCAATTTTTCCAGTTAAAATATAGTGTTTGGTATATACTCACCGTATAAGACTACCCCTCTTCTAACACACACCAAATAAAATTTTTAAAAGCATCAGATTTGATTTCAATATGGTAATTTTCCTATTACTGTACCTCCTTCTCTGCCTCTCAGATCACGCACATGCGCACCTGCACCACTTCACTGCAGTCTTCAGGAGCAAGATCTGAGAGGTAGAGGAGGAGGTACGGTAATAGGATACAAGGGTGGGCCAGACAGGTAAAAGAGGTGTGTTTTTCTGGGCCCAGAGCCACTCTACTCTTTTTTCCATATCCCGAGTGCCCCAGATGCCTGCAGCTTGCTCCGCCCTTCACTTATACCTTCCTGGTGAGGCGCCCTTTCACCTCACCATCGGGACTGCATTAAGTCCACGAATCCTGATGAATGGATTTTCTTCTACCATACTTGTACAGCATCGCCCTTAATGCTTTCATCAGGATTCGTAGACTTAATGCGGTCCCGATGGTGAGATGAAGGGGCGCCTCACCAGGAAGGTGTAAGTGAAGGGCAGACCAAGCTGTAGGCGTCCGGGGTGTGGGAAAAAGAGACAGAGTGGCTATGGGCCCAGAAAAACACATCTCTTTTACTTGTCTGGCCCACCCTTGTATTCCATTACCGTACCTCCTCCTCTGCTTCTCAGATCTCGCTCCTGAAGACTGCAGTGAAGCTGTGCAGGTGCACATGTGTGAGATCTGAGAGGCAGAGAAGGAGGTACAGTAATAGGAAAATTACCATATTGAAATCAAATCTGATGCTTTTAAATTTATTTGGTGTGTGTTGGAAGAGAGGTAGTCTTATACGGTGAGTATATTCCAAACTCTATATTTTAACTGGAAAAGTTGGGGGTCGTCTTATACACCGGAATATACAGGTAGATTCAACAAATGAATCACAAGAGATTAGAGAAAGACACATGTTAAAGCATTCATTGAATATCAGGTGTCAAGTTTTCCTTCCCAAGGATCACAGAACTAATTTTAAGGGTTAGAAGCATCTTACAAAACTATGAACTGAATGCCATCAACAAAAACAGCCTAAGTTCAGCCAAGAACCAAATGGTTCAATGGACTAAACAAAGCTACAAAAGGGTATTAAAAATGTTTGAAACAGCAGCTAAATCCCACAAATTAGCAAGGGAAGAAGTGTCATCTGAAAGTCATTACTCAGCAACAGCCAGATGGCTGAGGAAGCCCATTTGTGTTTTCCGGATATCAGTTTTTCACTAGGGTTGACAGCTGTAGGTATTGCCCTGGACTTGCCTACCCAACAGTAAGTTCACCAGGTCATGCTCCCTGGTAAAATGTTTTATTTACAGCGATATTGCAGTGGTTATTCGGGTTATCTGGCCCAATAGTAGATCCCCAATTTTTTTACTTTAATATCATGTTCTCCAGCCCTGTTTGTGATTCATCTCATTTCTCATTGTCCAGCTAGGACAGTGGTTCTCAAACTGGGGTCCCCAGATGTTTTTGGCCTACAATTCCCAGAAATCCTAACAGCTGCTAAACTGGCTGGGATTTCTGGGAGTTGTAGGCCAAAAACATCTGGGGACCCAAGGTTGAGAAGCACTGATCTAGGCAGAGGGTAGGGGGCTAAAAGTATGATGATAACAGGGGAAAATATGTACCAGAAAGAGAACTACAATGCAGTAGAATTTCCTACTGAGCAACTTGCCACGGTGTAATTGCAATCACAATTCGGTTTTTATGTTATGCTAAGCTATATTATCATCAACTTCAACACCCCCATTTATTGTGCCATAAAATGAACATGATGCTCTACAGTAAAACAACCGAAAAGCTAAAAAGTTTTATGGGTGTGCAGCTGCCATCCTTCCCATTGGCAAACAGTCAAAAGAACAATTTTATGTTGTTGTTGTTGCTATTATTATTATTATAATTATTATTATTATTATTATTGACACAACAAAATTAGTACACAGCAAACAAGATCACTATTCTGGCTGTTGTATTGGATCACACGTCAGACACTGCCCAAGTGTCTAGGACTGTGTGATGTATCAACGAATAATGCATGCAGATCCGATTAGGGTGGCCTTTTGCATCTGACAGGCGGTAATTTTGTCAGCGCCAATTGTGTTTAAGTGCAGGCCAAGGTCTTTAGGCACTGCACCCAGTGTGCCGATCACCACTGGGACCACCTTTACTGGCTTGTGCCAGAGTCTTTGCAGTTCAATCTTTAAATCTTTGTATCGTGTCAGCTTTTCCAGTTCTCTTCGCCTGGGATTGCAACATCAACGATCCATACTTTGTTTTTTAGCATGATCGTGTTATTATTATTATTATGCTTATTGATTTTATCATGTTTAACTTGGCTAGAGGACTCAACTTTTATCTACTTACATTCTGGAATTCGAATAACAAAGTTCTAATATAGTAGTCAGTTCTGACTTGCTCAGCTTCCTAAACAAAATGGAAAGATTTTTGTCAATACATGGAAACTTCACAAAAGTCTGCTCTAGTACTGATAGTAATATTACATTCAATTGATCCAAGTAAACCTAAGGTAGCCACAGAAGTTAAAAAAACCTGAAGTCTTCCACTAAAATGAATACTGAAAGCGTGTAACACTGGATTTGGAGAGTAGGGCTTATGTGTCACAATAAACAAGCCACAAACAGGAAGTCTGCTACTCCCACTTGTAATGCCAGTAAGCAGGCAACATGCACTAGCATTTAGTATGAAGAACACCTAGAATTATTGACACACTGAAAAGAATGACTTCAATCTCTTCCTTCCAACCAAGCTGACAGGGCAGGGTACGTGCCCAAAGTTCATCAATATAGTCTAAAACAGGGGTTCACAAACTTTTTAAACAGAGGGCCAGATCACAGTCCCTCAAACTGTTGGAGGGCCAGATTATAATTTGAAAAACAAAAACATGCACACAGCACATATCTGATTTGTAGTGCAAAAAACACCTTAAAACAATACAATAATTACAATGAAGAACAATTTTAACAAATATAAACTTATTAATATTTCAAGTGTGGGACTGCTTTTGGCTGATGAGATAGGATTGTTTTTGTTGTTGTGTGCTTTCAAGTTGTTTCAGACTTAGGTTGACCCTATGCAAGGGCCAGGTAAATGACCTTGGAGGGCCATATCTGGCCCCCGGGCCTTAGTTTGAGGACCCCTGGTCTGAAACATAGCATCTTAATCTGTGGGTTATGACCCCTTTATGAGGTCACAAAAACGTTGTGTAGCTTGCCACTTAGTGGCTGTTTAAGATATTTACATGAATCTTGTTAGCAACAACATGCAGCAAATGTTTAAACTGCCAGTAGAGACTGCAAACAAAGCATGCGAGTATGGCATTAAAAACGCTGAAGATGCTCCATGTCCTGTAATATTTCATTTTCATTTCATTTCAAGGTTTTATATACCGACCCTCTCACCTTCAAAGAGGGATTCGGACCGGTTCACAACATGTGTTAACATACAAAGAATATACAATAACAACACAATGCCACTTCATAACACGATTAAAATATCAGCACTATACACATTAAAACATTATCATCACAGTTAAAAGCGCCAAATCATCCGACACCATCACAATCCCATTCATCATCCTCCTTTCATGTGGGCAAAGAATTCAGCCAAGATTTAAATTCATTTTGTAAAAATAAACATGCATATCCATGTTATTAATATACAAATTTGCTTTAATCTTTAATAAATTGATGAAAGTATATGTACTCCAAAGAACTGTTTTAAAATACATTTCTGTATGATTTATTATTAGTAAATGTTTTGTTTGTATACCTATTTTATATATCTATATGGGTCATGTAAAATGTCTTAGGTCAGTGGTTCTCAACCTTGCTAATGCTGTGACCCCTTAATGCAGTTCCATATGTTGTGGTGACCCCCAACAATAATATTGTTTTCGTTGCTACTTGATACCTGTCATTTTACTACTGTTATAAATAGTAATGTAAATATCTGATATGCAGGATGGATTTTCATTCACTGGACTAAATTGAGCACAAATACCTAACATGCCCAAATGTGAATGCTAATGGGGTTGGGGGGGAGGATTGATTTTGTAATTTGGGAGTTGTAGTTTCTGGGATTTATAGTTCACTTATAATCAAAGAGCATTCTGAACTCCACCAGCGATTGATTAAAACCGAACTTGGCACACAGAACTCCCACGAGCAACAGAAAACACTGGAAGGGTTTGGTGGGCATTGACCTTGAGTTTGGGAATTATAGTTCATCTATATCCAGAGGAGTGCTGTGGATTCATGCAATGATGGATCTGGACCAAACTTGGCACAAATACTCAATATGCCCAAATGCGAACACTGGTGGAGTCTGGGGAAAATAGACCTTGACATTTGGGAGTTGTAGTTGTTGGGATTTATAGTTCACCTACAATCAAAGAGCATTCTGAACTCTACCAACAATAGAATTGGGTCAGACTTCTCACACAGAATCCCAGTGACCAACAGAAAATACTATGTTTTCTGATGGTCTTTGGCGACCCCTCTGACACCCCCTCAGGAGTCCCGACCCCCAGGTTGAGAAACACTGTATTAGGTGAAAACAGGTCATGAATGGGGAGGGGGATTAAAAAGCCCTGGTCTAAAACATCTCAGATGAGTCCCATTGTGTAGATTTAATATGTTATGGCTTTAATGAGAGAGCTCCAGTTGATTATTTCCTTCCAAAATTTAGTACCTCACCATCAGCGAGAAAATATTAGTTTAGTATCACCCTCTAAATCAGAATTCTATAAATTTGCTTATATAGTTCTTTGATTTCTTCAGCAATATATGAACTCAAGAATCACAAATAACCAACATGTGAGCTTGTGTAGGAACTGAAAAAGTTGTAATATGCATAAATTACAAGTTAGTTTAAAGATTATCAGTAATAAATCCCCACTGATAAAATACTCACACAAGAAATATGAAATGATCCAAAACTAATGCCTTCTTCCCCATACAGAGGCCAGTAACGTTCACATTTTTTCTGTTATCCAAAAAATGCAAATTTAAAATCAATAAACACATATATTTGTTAGTACATACAGAAGATGGATTTACACAGTCACTGTAATCCTCTCAAAGTTTTAGACATTTCAGTAGGTGATCTCATTTCATTAGGTATGCAATCGGTCCCTGAAAGCTGCCATTTGTATGCTATCCTTAGTATTTACTCCAACTCACACTGCTGCCAGTATATTTAGCATACCTACCCTACTATGAAACTCTTAAAAGTATTTTAAGTGCTTTACAATGTCTAAAGTCATTTGTTGCTGGAGCTATTTTTACAATATCTTCCTACACATAGTTCTATGACAGTTGTGCAAGAAAACTTGTGATTTTTCATGAACTAATACCAATAAATGCCATTTTTACATTTTGTAATATGAAGAACTGAGATTTCCTTAAGAAAACATATTGTCCAGTACAGACATGTGCTTCGCTGACCAAACCCAAATATAAAATTGAACTCCACTAACACCTATAGCATATTAGTTCTACCACATAATCAAGTCAATACTTTTTATACATACCCTTCCCATTTCAAACTCTCGACAAGCCATTACAATAATCTGGAACAAAAAAAATGTAAATGTACTTTTAAAATCCTTGTGCAATGAAATATCTGCACATGTACATTTATTATTGACTAGCCATCCCTTGCCATGCATTGCTGTAGCCCAGTCTGTGTATATATATATTTGTGTATATGTATATATGTAAAGGTAAAGGTAGTCCCCTGACATTAAGTCCAGTCATGTCTGACTCTGGGGTGTGGTGCTCATCTTCATTTCTAAGCCGAAGAGCCAGCGTTGACCGTAGACACCTCCAAGGTCATGTGGCCGGCATGACTGCATGGAGCGCCGTTACCTTCCCGCCGGAGCGGTACCTATTGATCTACTCACATTTGCATGTTTTCGAACTGCTAGGTTGGCAGAAGCTAGGGCTGACAGCGGTATATGTGTATACATGTGGTTTTGTACATGCATTGTAATGTTTTGTTTTAGGTTGTGATTTTTTAAAGTCTCTTCTGCTGTGTTTTTCAGTGTTTTTATGAGTGATGGTCACTCGTTGGCCTGATAGGTTCATCTGCCATTCATTTTCCAGTCCCAATTCAAGGTACAGGTTCTTACCTATAAAGCCCTAAACGGTTTGGGACCCACCCTTTGCCCCACCCTGGTCATTCCACAGATATATAAACCCATTTTCCTAGTTCCAATAGACCTCACTACCTCTGAGGATGCTTGCCATAGATGCAGGCGAAACGTCAGGAGCAAATGCCTCTAGAACATGGCCATATTGCCCGAAAAATCCTACAACAACCTAGGTTTGGGACCCGCCTATCTTCATGATCGTATCTCTCTCCATGAACCAACCCGAACTCTTCGATCTTCAGGGTAGGCCCTCCTTTCACCCATGCAAGTTTCTCAGGCTCGCCTTGTGGGTACAAGGGAGAGAACCTTCTCGTCTGTGGCCCCCTGACTCTGGAACTCATTGCCCGGAGAGATTAGGAAAGCCCCTAATTTTATATTTTAATGCTATGTTGTTTATTTTATTTCTGAGAAAAGCAGACTGATGCAGACGGTGAGGCTGTTATTATTATTTATTTATTTATGAGATGTATACCCCACCTTTCCCCAGTTAAGGGCCCAAGGCAACTTACAGCCAGTAAAACCATCTATATAAATAAAAATGTAATGTCAGTTTGTGGGATTAACAGAACTCAAAAACCACTGGACAAATTGACACCAAATTTGGACACAAGACACCTAATAACCCAATGTATGTCCTTCACTCAAGGACATACATTTGGGAGCTGTAGTTGCTGGGATTTATAGTTCACCTACAATCAAAGAGCATTCTGAACCCCACCGAAAATAGAATTGGACCAAACTTGGCACACAGTTCTCCCATGAACAACAGAAAATACTGGAAGGGTTTAGTGGGCAGTGTCCTTTGGTTTTGGAGTTGTAGTTCACCTACATCCAGAAATCACTGTGGATTCAAACAATGATGGATCTGGACCAAACTTGGCACAAGCACTCAATATGCCCAAATATGAACACAGATGGAGTTTGGGGGAAATAGACCTTGACATTTGGGATTTGTAGTTACTGGGATTTATAGTTCAACTACAATCAAAGAGCATTCTGAACTCCGCGAACGACAGAATCGGGGCAAACTTCCCACACAGAACCCCCATGACCAACAGAAAATACTTAAGGCCACCCAATCCAACTCCCTTCATCAGGGCAAGAAAATGTAATCAAAGCCCTCCTGACAAAGAGCCATAGATAGATAGATAGATAGATAGATAGATAGATAGATAGATAGATAGATAGATAGATAGAGATAGAAATGATATGATATGATATGATTCACACAGTATCATAGATTTGAAAGGGACCCTTAAAGAAGGACAATGATATGTTGCACGTTCCAGGGTGGCCAAACCAGACACTCTCCACATCAACACTGACAAAGAAACAGCAAGAAATACTGTTTACCCACAACCATAAAGAAATTACATATATTAGAAACCAACACTTTCTCATTACTTTATTTTCCAGATCAACAGACTGGGCCATAGCAACGCGTGGCAGGAGACAGCTAGTACAATATAAAAATTAAAAGCAAGTCATTCATGCCGTCATGTTTGCAATGTTATGCATTGTGAAACATTTATTACAAAAAAAAAATGCTCCCATCACCAAATGAAATAGCATTAAATACTTACTGTAACGTTGTACTCCCATATCATCCTCCAGAAATCTATTACTGTATTTGCTAGTGGTCCTTGGGTAGCAACATACGCTTTTGGCCCATATACTCCCTATAATTTCAACAGACAAACTGCATGTAATAACAGTTTAAAATATACAATAAACTTCAACTTAGACATAAATGATGAACTATGGATAGGTTTGTACACATCTACATAAACACATACATTTCGCGATCCAAGGAGAAACTTAATGGACAAATACTCTATTTACAAACAATGAAAATATAAAACATACACAAAGTGGTGCAATGGGTTAAACTCTTGTGCCAACTGGACTGCTGACCTGAAGGTCAGCAGTTAGAATTTGCAAGACAGAGCGAGCTCCTGTCTGTCACCTCTAGCTTCCCTTGTGGGGACATGAGAGAAGTCTCCCAGAGGATGGTAAAACTTCCAGGCGTCCCCTAGCCAATGTGCTTGCAGATGGCCAATTCTTTCACACCAGAGGTGACTTGCAGGTTTTCAAGTCGCTCCTAACACGACAAAAAAAATGAGGATATCTTACACATTGGGTTGTTGTAGGTTTTTTCGGGCTATATGGCCATGTTCTAGAGGCATTTCTCCTGATGTTTCACCTGCATCTATGGCAAGCATCCTCAGAGGTAGTGAGGTCTGTTGGAACTAGGAAAAAGGGTTTATATATCTGTGGAATGACTCTTGTCTACTGGAGCTAGGTGTGAATGTTTCAACTGACCACCTTGATTATCATTTGATTGCCTGTCAGTGCCTGGGGCAATATTTTGTTGAAAGGTGATTAGATGTCCCAGATTGTTTCCGCTTTGTTGTTTTGCTGTTGTAATTTTAGAGTTTTTAATACTGGTAGCCAGATTTTTGTTCATTTTCATGGTTTCCTCCTTTCTGTTGAAATTGTCCACATGCTTGTGGATTTCAATGGCTTCTCTGTGTAGTCTGACATGGTGGTTGTTTGGCACATGTTCATTTTCATGCTGTGTCCAGGTTGGTTCATCAGGTGCTCTGCTATGGCTGACTTCTCTGGTTGAAGTAGTCTGCAGTGCCTTTCATGTTCTTTGATTCGTGTTTGGGCAATGCTGCGTTTGGTGGTCCCTATGTAGACTTGTCCACAGCTGCATGGTACACGGTAGACTCCTGCAGATGTGAGAGGATCCCTCTTGTCATTTTCTGACCGCAGCATTTGTTGGATTTTCTTGAAGGGTCTGTTGATAGTGTGTATGTTGTGTTTCCTCATCAGCTTTCCTATGCGGTCAGTGGTTCCCTTGATGTATGGCAAGAACACTTTTCCTCTGGGTGGATCTTCGTCTTTACTCTCGTGGCTTGTTCTCGGTCTTGCAGCTCTTCTGAAATAAGAATGTTTGTGTCCCCTGTGTCACTTCACCTCTTCATCATCCTCCTACAATAAGTGACCCAGTTATTCCCTCTCCAAAATACCTGATCACTCCTCCTTTCAAAATAAGGATTTCACTGAAAGGCTATCAAAAGATTTATTTAACTTCACTTAGTGTGACTAATGGGAGGGAGGAAGAAAATGAAAAGGATGCTACATATAGAAGATTCTAGGAACCTAAAATTACCCATAGTACAATAGCCATTTTAAGTGGATGCACAAAGGCAGTGTCACGTTCTCTATATAAAGCCAAGAGTAAGATAGTATAAAGTTATTAACACTGAGTTCTGTTCATATTTCCAAGAGACCTTTTTAGACTAAAAATAAAAGGACAGATGCCCTTGAGTCTTTAGACTTAGTATAAAAATGAAGGTTAAGTACAGTCATCTCTCCACATCCACAAATTCTGCATCCAGCGATTCAACCACACTTGAGAACATTTTTAAAAATTCCAAATGGAAACTTTGATTTTGCCATTTTATATAATGGGCACCATTTTACTATACCGTTGTTTATAATGGTATTTGAGCATCCACGGATTTTGGTATCCACAGCGAACACTGAGGGACCACTGTAACTACAGCCCTCAGGCAAAACCTCTGAATAAGCTGTATTATTTTAAATACATCAGAACAATTCATAGGATCATAGAGTTGGAAGAAACCTCATGGGCCATCCAATCCAACCCCCTGCCAAGAAGCAGGAATATTGCATTCAAAGCACCCCTGACAGATGGCTATCCAGCCTCTGTTTAAAAGCTTCCAAAGAAGGAGCCTCCACCACACTCCAGGGCAGAGAGTTCCACTGCTGAACAGCTCTCACAGACAGGAAGTAATCCCTCATGTTCAGATGGAATCTCCTCTCTTGTAGTTTGAAGCCATTGTTCCGCGTTCTAGTCTCCAAGGACACAGAAAACAAGCTTGCTCCCTCCTCCCTGTGGCTTCCTCTCACATATTTATACATAGCTATCATCTCAGCCTTCTCTTCTTCAGGCTAAATATGCACAGCTCCTTAAGCCGCTCCTCATAGGGATTGTTCTCCAGACCCTTGATCATTTTAGTCGCCCTCCTCTGGACACATTCCAGCTTGTCAATATCTCTCTTCAATTGTGGTGCCCAGAATTGGACACAATATTCCAGGTGTGGTCTAACCAAGGCAGAATAGAGGGGTAGCATGACTTCCCTAGATCTAGACACTATGCTCCTATTGATGCAGGCCAAAATCCCATTGGCTTTTTTTTGCCGCATCACATTGTTGGCTCATGTTTAACTTGCTGTCCACGAGGACTCCAAGATCTTTTTCACACGTACTGCTCTCGAGCCAGGCATTGTCCCCCATTCTGTATCTTTGCATTTCCTTCTTTCTGCCTAAGTGGAGTATCTTGCATTTGTCACTGTTGAACTTCATTTTGTTAGTTTTGGCCCATCTCTACAATCTGTCAAGATCGTTTTGAATCCTGCTCTTGTCCTCTGGAGTATTGGCTATCCCTCCCAATTTGGTGTCGTCTACAAACTTGACGATCATGCCTTCCAGCCCATCATCTAAGTCATTAATAAAGATGTTGAACAGGACCAGGCTCAGGACCAAACCCTGTGGCACTCGCCACTTCTTTCCAGGATGAAAAGGAAGCATTGCTGAGCACCCTCTGGGTTCGTCCATTTAACCAATTACTGATCCACCTCACCGTAGTTTTGCCTTGCCCACATTGGACTAGTTTGTTTGCCAGAAGGTCATGGGGGACCTTGTCGAAGGCCTTACTGAAATCCAGGTACGCTACATCCACGGCATTCCCCGCATCTACCCAGCTTGTAACTCTATCGAAAAAAGAGATCAGATTAGTCTGGCATGACTTGTTTTTGATAAATCCATGTTGACTATTAGAGATGACCGCATTTGTTTCTAAGTGTTTGCAGACCACTTTCTTAACAATCTTTTCCAGAATCTTGCCTGGTATCGACGTGAGGCTGACCAGACGGTAATTGTTTGGGTCATCCTTTTTTCCCTTCTTGAAGATTAAGACCACATTGGCCTTCCTCCAATCTGCTAGAACTTCTCCCGTTCTCCAAGAACTTTCAAAGATGATTGCCAATGGTTCCGAAATGACTTCCGCTTTGATCTTTAGGTTTGATCTTTTCAGTAGAAGAAAAAAGATCCCTTGCAAAGTTCTTATACGTTACATGGAATTTAATATGGAGATGTTCTATGAATCCAATCCCTAATGGGCCTGTATTTAGCACAGTTAAGTGGGACATTAACTGAAACTTCTCTATTTACGTCTTCTTCCTTATTCATACTCCTACATTGTGTCAATGAACATTGTCATTTATTGTGTGTAACTGCAATTAGAGATTCTGTATTACTTCAATTGTCAGATGCCAACAATTGTAAGAAAACTTAAAAAATTCTAGGATCAGGATAGTAAAGAGCAACACTCAAACAGGGGAATTCCAGACAATCAGGGCCAGCTAACACCTTCCAACAAAGGATTCCCCCAGACAGGAAGCAGCCAGGCTTTGAAGCTGCAAAACTATTGAATGCTAATCAAGATGGCCAATTGCAACATTCACACTTGCCTCAAGCAGACAAGAGTTCTTTCTCTCACCCTAGACATCCCAAAGATATATAAACCCCACTTGCCTAGTTTCCAACAGACCTCAAAGCCTCTGAGGATGCCTGCCATAGATGTGGGAGAACTGTCAGAAGAGAATGCTTCTGGAACATGGCCATACAGCCGGGAAATGTATAGCAACCCAATTCTAAGACACACCCTAATTTCAGTACCACCACCAACAACAAAAATATAGGGAATACACCTGTGATCCTAAGGTAAAAGGTAAAGGTTGTCCCCTGACATTAAGTCCAGTCATGTCTGACTCTGGGGTGTGGTCCTCATCTCCATTTCTAAGCCGAAAAGCCGGCGTTGTCCATAGGCACCTCCAAGGTCATGTGGCCGGCATGACTGCATGGAGCGCCGTTACCTTCCCGCCGGAGCGGTACCTATTGATCTACTCACATTTGCATGTTTTCGAACTGCTAGGTTGGCAGAAGCTAGGGCTGTCAGCGGAAGCTCACGCCGCTCCCTGGAATCGAACCTGCGACCTTTCGGTCAACAAGCTCAACAGCTCAGCGCTTTAACCCACTGCGCCACCGAGGGCTCCCATGTGATTCTAAGATGTGTCCCATTTTTAGATATTTTTATATAGGAAAAAGTATGTCTTAGAACTGCATAAAAGCAGTTTTATCTTCTTTGGTCTTTTAATTGTGATGCTGGTGTAAATAACAAATCTTCATACCCTAGTAGTTTTGGGTACTCCATTTTTGCATTCCTCTTGAAAAATAAAAATGCAATCAATTTTCTCAACAACAATAAACCAAGCACTAAACAAACCATTGTATAAATTTGGTCTACATTTTAGGAAATTAGATTGTACAGATCCCAATGTGAAATAATCCTACATACCTTTATAAAATTTGCGTTGATGTAGTCTGAATCTTGTGGAGGAGTTTTCAAAGTCAGTTTAACTCGGCTGTGGTCAACTGAAATACAGCAATTTTAGGAAGAATTACTTTGAGTGCTTTCAAGTATTCTCTGTGAAGTTACATTACAAATCTTGTGACTTCCTTCTAATCCTGCACAAGTTCAACATTATTGTCTATGTGGTCTTCCTGATTTTTTCTTAATTGTCCACTCTTGTAACCTATATTGATATACTATTCACAGTTAAGTTTCTTTACTTCTCTTTTCTAAATATTCTTCCACCTCTCCCCAGTTTGTTTGTTTAACCAGATTTCCTGTGTTCGTCTTCAGTAAGAAAGCACTGGGATTGTGGCACAGCTGGCTGAGTGTCAGCTGCATTAAGATCACTCTGACCAAAAGGTCATGAGTTCGAAGCCAGCCCGGGTTGGAGTGGGTTTCCAACCAATTATGTGTAGCCTGTTGTTGACCTTTGCAACCCGAAAGACAGTTGCATCTGTCAAGTAGGAAAATAAGGTACCACCTTAAAATGTGGGGAGGCTAAATTAACTGATTTATGAGGCCATAAAGAAGACTCCAGCAAAGCATTCCAGCGGGGAAGCATGCGGGGAATGCGGAAGTGCTTCATCAGCGTCGCAGATGGACGATGAAAGCGACAGCTCCCCAGGCGGCCAGAAAAAGTTAAATAGCCTCTGTCTATGTCTGTATATGTTTGTATGTCAAAAATTGGCATTGAATGTTTGCCATATATGTGTACACTGTAATCCGCCCTGAGTCCCCTGCGGGGTGAGAAGAGCAGAATATAAAAGCTGTAAATAAATAAATAAATAAATAAATATCTATCACTTCATTTATATCCCCCCTTTCTTATCTTTTTTATCCATTGGTTCTTCTCCAGTATTTCCTTCTGCTTCCAAAGTTTCGCATAGTTTATTTTAGCGGCTGTTGTCATATTAAAAATATCCTCATTCAAATCCAGTTTTATGTCCCCATCTGTGATACCTAATAAGTAATATTCCGTTTTGGTTTGTTGTTTTTTTTTTGAAATTTTGTTTTAAAAAATTGTTGGCATTCTTCATGAATCCATCTCCAATATTTCTGGGCTTCCCTACAAGTCCACCAAAGATGGTAGAAGCTCCCTTCATGATCATTACATTTCCAACAATATTTAACCCTTTTTTACTGTATATAAAATAATTTGATATTTGGATGCAGCCTTGGACCCCATTCAAGAAGAAGGGCAGAACATAAATTAAAGAAAGGAAGGAAACATAGAGGTGTAACTTTAAAAATACATCCAGAGTTTCATGCACAATTAGACATCTATCTTTATTCCAGCTGTCTATTTTAATCATGGTTTTCAATACATTTTTATTTAATCCTTTTTTACTGTATATAAAATAATTGGTATTTTTAAAAACTTTTGGAAACAGCCTTGGACCCCATTCAAGGAGAAGGGCAGAACATAAATTAAAGAAAGAAAGAATTTTTTATTTATTTATCATGTCAGGCAACCAAACAGTTGTATTACATTTTTGACAGAACAAACATACAAAAGACACAGAGTTTGCAAGCTTGGTAGTTGATTAAATGTCCTTTGACCAGTATCTGGCCACTTGGAGTGCCTCTGGTGTTGCCGCAAGAAGGTCCTCCATTGTGCATGTAGCAGGGCTCAGGTTGCATTGCAGCAGGTGGTCTGTGGTTTGCTCTTCTCCACACTCGCATGTGTGGATTCCACTTTGTAGCCCCATTTCTTAAGGTTGGCTCTGCATCTCGTGGTGCCAGAGCGCAGTCTGTTCAGCGCCTTCCAAGTCGCCCAGTTTCTGTGTGCCCAGGGGGGAGTCTCTCATTTGGTATCAGCCATTGATTGAGGTTCTGGGTTTGAGCCTGTCACTTTTGGACTCTCGCTTGCTGAGGTGTTCCAGCGAGTGTCTCTGTAGATCTTAGAAAACTATTTCTAGATTTAAGTCATTGAGTGCTGGCTGATACCCAAACAGGGGATGAGCTGGAGATGTCTCCGCCTTGGTCCTTTCACTATTGGCTGCTACTTCCCGGCGGATGTCAGGTGGTGCAATACCGGCTAAGCAGTGTAATTTCTCCAATGGTGTAGGGCGCAGACACCCTGTAATAATGCGGCATGTCTCATTAAGAGCCACATCCACTGTTTTAGTGTGGTGAGATGTGTTCCACACTGGGCATGCATACTCAGCAGCAGAGTAGCATAGCGCAAGGGCGGATGTCTTCACTGTGTCTGGTTGTGATCTCCAGGTTCAAATAGAAAGAAAATGTAGAGCTGTGACTTAAAAAATACATCCAGAGTTACATGCACAATCAGACATCTATCTTTATTCCAGTCGTCTTTTAGAAAAAAATCCATCTGTCTCTTGTAAGAACCAAACTAACTGATTCTTTAAGAAAAACTGTGCACTAGCTTGCATATATGTGTGTGATGATGCAAAAACAGAGAAGATTTTACAACCTTGGTTTCAGGTCAAATGCATTAGCAGATTGTTAGCTTTGGAAATAAGTTTTTAAATAGAATCAGGGAGGTGACACACAGAAACAAAACAAGTCACTTAGGCAGATGAAGTATCTTAAAGAATACTCCTTTCAGCAAATAATTACAGTGTAATTTATCAGTTCAAGAAACTGTAAATGTTAACTGGCAAGTTATCTTAATAATTGTTATTAAAGTGTCCGATGAAAAAAAGAACCAGACTTACATGGCAGGATATCTTTGTATCTGTTCTTTTTCACATTTTCTTCTTTTTCTCCAGTGACTGTTGGATAGATTTTCTCTGTTCTATACTTTGTTGACAGCCTCCTCAGCCTCTGTAATTAAGAAGTTCAGAATTATGCTATTTTTTTTTCAGTTGCTTGGAAAACTTTTTTGACGAAGCACCTCCTTTATATGAATACATGCAGTCAGCCTTAGTCAGTCCTCTACATTTATTGGGATTAAAGAACACAGAACCCCTCCGAAAATGGAAAAGCATCAAGTCTTTTCTCTTAACCTGGGAGAACATAATTCCAAAAATTTGTAGGTCCTCTATTGTGACTCTATGGACAATTTCTGGCAGAGCTGACCATGGAATCACACTGGAGAATCCAGAGATAGTATTTTTAATCAAATCCATGAACCAACATAGTGCAGGAGTACTGACCAGGGACATTCTATCTATTACCCAAAATACATAAACAAGGCCATCATCAAGTCCTGGAATACTAGCATTTGGCATTTCAGAAGTATGGATAATATCCTTAGACCATATGGCACCAACACCTCCAGCTATGTCAAGGACATTACTAAATTCCTGCAGAACTTACAGTCCACTCCAACCTTCCTGGGATCATCATCTTAGGTACAATAGTCAAACCTTACATTGCAATGTAGAGGTTGATCAGTAAATACACATCACATCACACGATATGACATCAGTCAGACTGACCCCAACTTAAATTTAAATGACACATTTTTCACACCCATCCCTCAAAATAACATACAAATGCATGCACAACAACAACAACAACAACAACAACAATTTGGCCAGACAGATACCAATGAACAATAATCTCTTTAATAGATCCAGAAAACAAAACACCACTTGACACCTACAAGTTTTCAGCTAAAACTACACATATACATATATAATTGCTGTTTAATTAACAAGAGTGTGGCCCACGCTCTTGTTATATCCCAAATAGACTACTGCAATGCACTCTACATGGGACTGCCTTTGAAGACTTCCTGGAAGCTTCAACTAGTCCAACGGTCGGCAGCCAGGTTGCTCACTGGATCGGCATACAGGGAGCATACAACTCCTCTGTTACGCCAGCTCCACTGGTCAGCTTCCGAGCACAATTTAAAGTGCTGGTTTTAACCTTTAAAGCCCTAAACGGTTCTGGCCCAGACTACCTGTCCAAACTTTTCTCCTATTACGAACCATCACAAAGTTTAAGATCTTCAGGAGAGGCCCTGCTCTCAATCCCACCACGTCGCAAACGCTACTTAAATATCTATGGGATTAATTATGTACTCAATCCATCCATATGTTTGATAGCAATGAAACCTGATGTTAAAATAAATGAATCTTGAAGTTGCCATAATTTGCAAATAAATTTGATAAAAATCAGACTATGTGATTTTCTGGATGTGTTTTCTCATGTTGTCTCATAGTTGAGGTCAATTACAGGCCTCTCTCATCTTTTTAAGTGAGAGAACTTGTACAATTGGTATCTGACTAAATACTTTTTCCTTCCACTGTATGTTATCATGAAATGAAATTCCACTACACTGCATAATACAAATCACGGGCAAAACCATTTTTACATTTACATAAGTTGAGCAGAGGTGTAAATTTTAGGGAATTTTCAAAACAATGTTGCAGATATTAAATCAAAACCACTGGCTGTCGCACAATGTATCACCCTTCAACTTAGTGTGCACTCAATCCACAACCTTTATCACCAATGTTCTCCCCTATTAAATACATCACCAGACTGCAGAAATGTACAATATTAACCTGCTGCAATGTTTTATATATTTTAATGGTTGTTGTATTATTGTAATAGTTTTTTGTAGTGGCATCGAATCACTGCCAAAATATAAGCCGTCCTGAGTCCCCCTTCGGGGGTAGAGGAGAAATACCGGAAATAATAAATAAATAAATAAATAAATAAATAAATAAATAAATAAATCGGTTCAAGAGAATATAACACAACATGATATTTGCCCAATCATTGCTATTAGTTTAGATCGTTTCTTCCTCATCATTTTATTTCCTTAGCTTTTACATTTTGATCCACTAAATATTGCTAAATGATTTTTCAACAGGACCTATTCTCAACATTACATAAACATGCTCTACATAATATATAGTAATTTCTAAAAGTTCTTGCATTCATGACATTGCAGTATTGTGTATTCCTGCATGACCCTTGTGGTTTATTCCAACTTTATAAATCTGTGATTCTATGATCTCGCACGTGGTCTTAGAACAGGGGTCCCCAAACTATGGCCCGCAGGCCACTTATCCGGCCCACGGAGGCACTTATCCGGCCCACGGAGGAGGAGCACCCCCCCCACACACACACACAGTGCCCCTCCCTTGGCTGGCTCACGCTATCCGTCAGGCCCGATGGGCAGCGTGAGCCAGCCAAGGGCAGCTGCTCCGCGTGGCCTACTCTCGCGTAAAGCACCTCACGAGGTACTTTACGCGAAAGTAGGCCGCGCGATGCTGTTCCTCCCTTGGCAGGCTCACGCTGCCCATCGGGGAGGCTGCCCTGGTGCTCCATGCAGTCATGCCAGCCACATGACCTTGGAGGTGTCTATGGACAACGACGGCTCTTCGACTTAGAAATGCAGATGAGCACCACAACCCAGAGTCAGACACGACTGGACTTCATGTCAGAGGAAAACCTTTAGGAAAATTGTGGAAGATCCAGAGTGGGAGAAAGAACTCTTGTCTGTTGGAGGTAGGTATTAATGTTTCAATTAATTACCATTTCATAGCCTGACAGTTGATTACCATTCCATAGACTGACAGTTTTTAGGGAGAGGTGATTAGCTGGCCCTGATTGTTTCTTGTCTGGAGTTCCCCTGTGTTTGAGTGTTGTTCTTTATTTACCGTTATAATTTTAGAGTTTTTTTTAATACTGGTAGCCAGATTTTGTTCAGACTAGAAATAGGAAGATTTCCCATTCTCTGCTCCTGGAATTACTGCCTAAAGAGGGCTAGAAAGAACCCCCTCTAAGGGCCCTTCCACGCAGCAAACTAAGATATGTGCAATGTGTATAGGAATTTTTTAATGGATTTTTTTTAAAAAAACTATAGTCTGGCCTTCCAACGGTCTGAGGGACAGTGAACTGGCCCCCGATTTAAAAAGTTTGAAGACCCCTGTCTTAGAAGCTCTGTATATCCTGTACATTGTCAAACCTAGGGGTAACAGTATCAGCTCCCTGCTGGTATCCCCACTGGTGTCATTGGGTTCCCTTGTGTGCTACTGGTCTTCTAAATTGGGAAATGGGTAATGTGCTAATTGGGGGGGGGGGAGTGATATATGTTGTCATATTCAGAAACCCCTCTCTAATAGATCAGAAACCCCTCTCCCTGCTTAGATAAACCTTATACGTTGAGTTTGGAAATTAAAAACAGAGCCCAAGAAATAACCCTGCCTTATTTCCTTTCTCTGAGCCCCACGTCTGTAGATATACCAATAGTACACACCAATAGTTTCCTATTCAACTGTAAGATAATACGATATTGAGATTATTAAGTCAGAAGCAGTCAAAATAGTCTAAAATTTCTAACCAAGAACCTCTAATTTTGTATATTTGCAGACTAAGATGTTCTAGGAGACTATGCTTTTCAGTCATACTTTTGCATGTTTTAAAGCCTATCTATAGACTCTTAATCTATAGCTTTGTCATTCTATGCAGTCAGCATAGAAATGTCAAATATTCTAACTGGCTGATGATTACATAAAAGAAGCCATAAACCTCATGTTTTATGAACTGAAATCACAAAACTGAATTCTCAGTCTGTTACAAGCTTGCTATAGTTAATAATCCTGGCTAAAAATGCTTTTCTCACACAAATCCCACCATTTATTCAAAAAGGAGCATTTTCCCTTACCCATTGTTTTATCTTTTCCCTGGTGCTCACTCAGAAGAGGAAGCGCACAGTAAATGCTAGCATGAATAACACAGGCTATTTATTTCTGTACAAACATACAGGAAATCTCCATACTGCTTTGCCAAAAGACATATTTTTTTGAATAGCTACAAGACTTATATTGTCACTGTTTCAAAAGACAATGCAGCAAAAGCCCTTGCTTTTGCTAATGGATCTATGGCACTTTTGACTTCTATTCTATGCAATTAGACTTAATTAATAACCCTTTCGCAACTGTCTCATAATGTGACATAGAAACGCATGTGAAAACCTTTAAGGTTTTTTTTTCTAAAATGGGTGAAATGCTTTTTAAAATTAAATTTTAGAATCCTTTTTAAGTGTTTTTATTATTCTAAATGCTACATAATACAGAAAGAAATATGATCTAATTATAATTTGCACAACAGGCACAAATCTGAAATAATCTTGGGAGCTTCAGCTCTTTTGCAAAATTGAAAAGAATATGTTTGGGAATCAATCAAAGAATGGAATCATAGAATCAGAGGATGGCCATCTGTCGGGGGTGCTTTGAACGTGATTTTCCTGCTTCTTGGCAGGGGGTTGGACTGGAAAAGACCCCGTGGGCCATCCAGTCCAACCCATAAGGCAGTGTTTCTCAACCTGGGGGTCGGGTCCCCTGGGGGGGTCGCGAGGGGGTGTCAGAGGGGTTGCCAAAGACCATCAGAAAACACAGTATTTATCTGTTCAATCAATCAAATCATTTATTTCGGTCATTGACCAGCACAGGAAATAGTCACATTTTCATACAAACTTGGTATGTTTGGTACATTAAAAATATAAATATAACTACTGAAGCACAATTTGGGTGAGGGAGCGGAAGGGGAAACAGGGTAAAACATATAATGCCCAGTATATATCTGTTGTTTATGGGGGTTCTGCGTGGGAAGCTTGGCCCAATTTTCTCATTGGTGGGGTTCAGAATGCTCTGTGATTGTAGGTGAACTATAAATCTCAGCAACTACAACTCCCAAATATCAAGCTCTATTTTCCCCAAATTCCACCACTGTCCACATTTGGTCATATTGAGTATTTGTGCCAATATTTGCTCCAGATCCACAATTGTTTGAGCCCATAGTGCTCTCTGGAGATTGGTGAACTATAACTCCCAAACTTAAGGTCAATGCCCACTGAACCCTTC